TAATAAAAAGAAAAAGTCATTAAAGGTATTTTAATCAATCACTTTTAACACTTTTTTAGTCTAATTATAAAAAAAAAAGTCTAATAACAAAAAATTCATTTAAATTAAATTTTATAAAAACATTTATCAAGGATATTTTAGGCAATCACTTTTTAATACTTTAGAATTAAAATTTTAAGTAATTTAATTTCATATAAACTATATTTAAATTTTAGTTGATTTAAATTAAATTTAAGTAAATTAATAAAAGTTATATATATTTAAGGATAAATTTATTAATTTAAAAACTTATAGAGATATTTAAGTCGATCACTATTAATAGTTTTAAAATTTATACTTTTATATATAAATAATATTAATATATTAATTTTTTAAGGGAAAGGAGTAATAAAAGAATTTTTTTAAAAAGAATTGAATTAAAGCTTCCCAAGTATATACAGTCAAACTCTCTAGTTTTAAAGAAATATATTTATCAGTTTTAATTTTTAATTTTAATTTTTTTAATTATTTTCAATAAAAAATTTTACAAACTTCATTTAAAAAATTTTATCTAAATCTTTCCTGTTTACACTAACGTAAAAGTTACTCTCCTTTTCACTATTAGACTTAACCTTTTCAAGGAATGCAAAAGTTGTGTCCTAAATCTGTTTACAAGCTAATTTTACTAACATCTAATCATTGTTTTGAGAATAAAACGAAAGAAAAGTACACTTTCACTCCTTAAATCTTGATTTTAAAAGAAAATGACAATCGAGAATCATCAATTTTAAGCCCCTTCCCCAGCCATTTTCACCGATATCAAAATTATGGGTAATTACCAATGATACTTCTGCTACACACAAGATCAATAATTTCTTTCAAAATATGAATAATTGATAGATGCGATAGGATAACGGTGTATTAAATATAAATTAAAAAAAAATACAAATCAGACAACGTAAAAGTTAAATAAAACTTTCTAAGCTTTGGCAATTATTTCTAGAGCTGCAGAATTATTGAGAAGAGATGGAAGGAAGATTACCTAACACATAAAGAAATACTAACAAAATTTGAAGCTCAACTCCACTCATCGACAACATGAATGATCAGTTACTGCATTTTCTTGACCCGGCATGTACCCTTTCGTATGGACAGCTGTAAAGAATGTCGAGCCAATGATCAGAGCAATTTGTGGTGGACTCAGCCCCTAATCCAAAACTGGTCTGCCATGCACAAATAGTTCCTTAATTAATCTGGTTGGGATTCTCTGGTTAATCGGTTAAAGGTGTGCCAGTGACTTATGCATGGTTGGTAAGTGACATGCCTCGTCAAGGGCTTGTCTACATGCGTAATTAAGCTGATGATAATCACGATTCGTTTTTGTTAGTTGATGTTGCTTCATTGTCCGGCGAACTAAAAGGGGTCACCCGCAATAAATGGTTATAAATCTGCCAAAAAATCGGATTTGACTTGCTAATGGCATGCTTAATTTTTTGTTTTTTGTTTTTTTTTATATATATATACATAAGATATTAGTTAGATTTAATAATTTATGTATTTATATTGTATTTATTTTATATTAAATATATGTAAAATATAAAAATTATTATATCATAATTCGTGTCGATAAATTAAATATGAAACATATGTTTTAATTTTATTAAATTTATATATAATTTTTATTAAAATTTTAAATTATTTTTTTTATTTTTTTCATATTATATCACCGTATTTAAAATTATCAGATCTAATATTAATTATAAAACAAAAGAAAACAATCTTCAATATCAAATTTCAAATTCGTGAAATCTTAATCTCTAAATGCTTGGTTATCTCCTTGAGAACTCAATTCTCTAATTATAACAAGCATCTTTGTCCAAAATCTGTGAAACCTAGATTGCTGGGGCATTAAACATTGGCTTCCATACGTACGCCTCCAATTAGTGGTTAAAGTTTTTAATTAGGAATGGACCCAACATAAAGTCAAAAAATATCCATATGAACAATATTTTTAATAATTTAAAACAGTTAACGTTCAAATGTCTAAAAAATTCAGTTCGATTTGTCAATATAATAGATATAAATATAATATAAATGTTAGATATATGTTATAAGATTTCATAATTTTGAATACTTTGGCTTTGTGTCAAATTGAGTTGTTACTAATTAAGATTGAAATTGTTCAAAATCTTAACATTTTCCATTTACAATTACTTCTTATGTGTATAATCAGTGGTTTTAATCTGCTAACTTATGCATATTAAAAAACATGAGTAGTTACAATTGTAATTAGAATACGTTCAAGATAAAAGATTTTTTTTTTTTTAATTTTACAAAAAGACTCAAAATGTAAGAAAGATCGATGAAATGAAAATTACAAATTTTACAAATTAAATTTTAATCTTACATAAATATTTTTTAAAATATTAAATAAATCATTCGAATTAAATTCTGAAAGCATATAATTATAGAATACATTGAGATATTCCCCACTTAAGGATCCATTGAAAAAAAAAATTGACTGAGGTGCAATACATTGCAATAAAGAGCTAGAATCCTAATTATACCAAATCATCCATTTACTTAAAAGTAATCCTCCCTCTTGTTGGCCTCAACAAAGGGGAGGTATTATGATTAAGGTAATGGCTACAGAAAAATAGTCAACTGTAGCTTGAATAAGTAGGTGGTGTGAGAGCCACCTTCCCAGTACATATCATGATTGTTGTCAACTTAATTTCCCCACATCACCAACCATATGACAAAAGAAATTAAAGAATTGTGGTTGATATATCAAAGAAGATCTTAAATCTTGATTAGATAGTTAATTAATTAATTAATTAATTAATAATCTCGTGTGAAACTATAAGAAAAGTATTTGTCTTTGAAACCCAACATTTCGGTGGTTGCATTGCATGGCAAGTTGCTTTGACAATGTCATGTCTTGATGCTTAGTTCTCACTAAACCGAATAGCTGGCCCCCCTATTAATAATTTTTATTATAATTATTATTTTTTTCCAATTTGATAAGGTAATTTATAGGCTAAAGATCACTTTTGACTATAGGATAGCCTTTTCTTTTTCCATACTCGAATCTAACTCTCAAATTTTGGCATAAAATATACCAGTTAATTAATTAGTATTTAATTATATATGTTATGATAACTTAATTAGGATATCGAAACTGTTAAGATTTAGTTTAGTGGTCCTAACTCCTTTAAGTGTATCTTATAGCATCTTGCTTCCTTGAATATTTGAAAAAAAATTAATTAATTAATGCCACTACCCATTGATTGCTTTTGTTTAATTTTCAGATTACCTAATGATATTTATATATATTTTAAAAATTTATACTTAACTTATAAAATATTATCCGTTTTAATTTAAAATTTTACGATTTTATCGTATAAAAAACGTTTTATAAATCAAGTATTTACATGTAAAATATAACGAATTTTCGTAATATTTTGATATGGAATAAATCAAGTATTTACACTTGATTTATAAAAAACGTTTTATAAATCAAGTATTTACACTTGTATTTACCTTTATATGTTGCCTTTAAAAGTAAATTACTTGATCATCTGTTTAACAGAGGACTTCATTTCTAAAGTACGGTTTTGGAGGTTTCTAATGGTAAAAGTTTAACTATCATAAAAAAGAAAAAAATTTATTTTTAAACTTTACCCATACTTCTTAAGATATATCTATAAAATTTTTTAAAACTAATAAAAAATTAAAAAATAAATTAATTTTTTATCTCGCTTATAAAATTAAAAAATTTAAACTATCAATATATCAAATCTTAATTCTATAAAAAAAATTCAAAAATAGTAGTCAAATAGTTCAAACTGTATGTAACAAATGTGGTTACATGTGCTTATTAATTAACAAAAGTGATGAAGGACGAGAAAATTTTAATCGGCAGTGCAAAGGATTGATATCTTGATTTTGAAAATGAGAGGTTTTGGGTGATAATATTTTAGGTGAATGGAGAGCATTTTCAACCTTTTTGCTCATAACTTGGAAGCCAACCAAATTTGACATCAATGGCTTAAAGGATCAAAGATTAGATCCTTTTGTCCACTGTTTTTGAGACCATCTATCTATCTCCCCTCCCCTTTTCTTTCCTATTACCCTCGAATTTTCCCCCTCCCACTAGCCGTACAAAAGCTATGCTCAGTCACCGGAAAATATATTCTCCGGCAGACAAATTTCACTTCAATGTTACACAAAAAAAAAAAACTTGTATTCTCAATTGTGTAAAAGTACGTGCATATAGTATCATACTACTTATTTTGATTAGAAAATTTTATAATTATATTTTATAAAAAATATTTTTATAAATATGAATTCAAGTTTACGTACATATATATTATAATAAAATTTTGGAATATTTTGATATAAAATTGGATGGTTAGAATTAAAGCTATCGCTGCAATAACAGTCTCTTTTTGAACTAATTAACCCCAAATAGACGTATGGTCAGGTTGGAGAGGTGTTGTGTTGAAGCAATTAAGGACCCACAAATTTGACAGCAAAAGAAGAAAAAAGCTTTATTTGGATGATAGAAGTAGAAAATCTGCCTTTGCTTTTCACCTCATCTTAATCCTCTTCACCTCTCTTTTTTACTTAAATTTGTTTTCTCTCTCGCGTGAGACCACGGATTTCAGAATCTCCAATCACTTGTTTCTGTCATAGCTACAACTTTAGTACTATTTTCTTTCGCTTTAGACAATGATAATCATGTCTAATTCTTCATGCCCTGTCTTTCTTACTCTCTCTGTCTCACTCATTTCAGCTCATGTCTTTTGCTAACCAATGTTTGCTCATTGCTTCAGGAGATCGAAGGGGAAACATAATCAAACTTAAAGCAAACAAAGATAAACATAAAAATTATGGTCAGTAGTAGTGTGATTTGTTGATAAAGTGTTAAATTTTGATTTGATTTTAAATTATGATAACTTCATATATTAAAAAATCATAAAAATTGAAAAGAGACAAAATTTAATGCTACACCAAAAGAGAAATTAATATTATTCTAGGATGTAAACCTCCAAACCATTGAACTAATAGAACTAATTGATTAGTACTTTTTTTTTTTTTTTTGCTTTTGGGAATTACACAATCAAACCATTAGCAATGGCTTGATTGGTATGGAGATGGGTTGTTTCGTACACAGGCAGTTCTTCTCGATACCTTTCAATACCGATAGCTGAAAGATTATCCAATTCGAAGAGGTCGGAGCTTGCATAACTAGCTGCATCTTCGTCGTCGTCATCGTCGCCTTCATCATCGCTAGACTCTCCATTGCCATTGCGGATATCTCTCATATCGTACTCTTCCTTCTTCTTTTGGTAACTCTTTAAAAGATCCTTTGCAGCTTCTACAACCCGACGATTTTCTTCCATGATGTGGAACTCAAGCTCTTTGTTGCTTGTTTTTCTTATGGACGTTTGATCATTTTCATAGAGGATGTTTTTATGCCCACATGGCCTGGAATCCTCATCAAGAATAACGCTAACAGGACAAAACCTGACTGACCTTTTTGTCCCATTCCCTCTTGACGATGGAGCCTTGCTCAAACAGGATCTTGAAAACGAGGAAGCTGAAGAACATGTTGATGTTGCGTGCTCGGATTTTAACTTCCCTTCTTCGTACCCTGACGATGAAATCTTTGCCTTCTTTGCATTCCCTGCAGTGAAAAGCGAGTTGAGGAAGCTTGCAAGCCGACCACCTGGAGATATCGGCTGCTTAACCTTCTTGAGGTCACTGTAAATCTTCAAGGCCTTCGATTTTGTTCTCACCAAACCACCTTCATTCTTTGGCTTTTGTGTAGCAGCATGGAAACTGTTTTCAACTTGAGGCCGAGCTGAGACGCTCGTCCGAATAGGCTTAGGCCTATGAGTAGTGTAATGACTTGATGATGACCTTGATTTTGCACCATAAAAAGAATCTGACTCTGAGGATGAAAACCCACCACCGCAGCTAGAATCAGAAGAGCTAGAGCTCGAGTTCAACAACATGGGATCAAAATCATTTCGAGAGTTTCTTTCAGAATCCGCCATGGATTTTCGTCCAATGACAACTTTATTATCACAGTTAATTTTCTTTTCCATCCATTTCTCGATCGTGCAAGCACGTTGAAGGCTCGTTATTTCTTCTTCTTTCAATGAACCGTTATTGCTGTGCTTCTTCCTCGTGGCAGTCTCTCTGTAGAAAATCAGCTCTTCCTCTCCTTTACTACCGTTGGATTCATCAATAGAACGGTAGATAGCATCAAGAAGAGTCGAAGAGAAAGATGGGTTTTCTCTCCTGTTTCGATACCGATCATCTCTCGGCAGTTTTTCCCACACCTCCATGGCTTTATAGAATGAACAAAAACAAAACAAAAAGAGAGAGATTGACGAATGAGGAGAAACAGAGAATCGAACAGTGAGATTTGAATGATACTGTTTGCTCTTTCTTGTCTGCTTCAAAGAGTGTCAAAAGCTGGATACAAATGAAAATGAAAGAGATTAATGGCAGCAACCATGATTAATTATGTGAAAGAAACAAGGAGACATTTTGGGGACAAAGACTGACTCTATCTCACTTCTCTTGCAGAAAAAAAATCCTTATGAAAAAAATAAAGCTGACATTTTCATTGATGCTTCCAGAGAGAGCCAGACTGAAAAAGAGAAAAAGAAAGAGTAATGAAAGCCAAAAGCCACGCCTGAAGAGGAGAAGAAACAGAGAAGATGATTTGAGGGAGATTTTTTTTTTTTTTTGTGTCCCTCTCTTTCACAAGCACTTATAAATCCTTATACACACTTGGGAAAGTGGGTCCTAGCTCGAATCAATGCCAGGGTGGAATGATGATGTGGCAAATTAATTAATAATTTAATTAGGTTATAACTTTTTGGCCATTAATCAATTAATCGAACTTCTTTTCTGAACTTTTGTACACACAAATTGCCTCTCCCCTTCTCTTCTTACTTGCAGTGACCCAAGAACCTTGCTTTTCCTTGCAAAAGATAAAGATATCAAAAGGAAAGATATCTATAAAAAAAAAAAATCATTAATTTGCAATATTGTTAAATTTGGATAGGGAAAATGTTGACACTATCAGCTAGGAAGGATTTTGACCCGTATTTAATGGTTTCGATTTAACTTAATTTTTTAAAATTATTAATTTTTAAATTAAATATTAAATCAGATCGAATTAAATATAAAAAGAAATTAAGATTAGGTTAAGGTCGGATCTTAGATAAACTAGATCAGATATATATATAATATTTTTTATTAATTAATTAATTTATTTTATTTTTATATATATTTAATTATTTAATTTTATATTTATATTTAAAATATTATTTTATATTTTAAAAAATAATATTTTATTAATTTTAAATTAAATTAAATAGAATATAATATATAATTTGATCAAATTTGAAGTAAATAAAAATCTATTTTAATATGGTCCATTGTCATTTATACTAACAGCAAAGCCAAGATTGATTTTCAGGGTCCATTAAATTGGTTTTTTTATTCTAAAATTATAAAAATTATATAACAATTTCTCATCCTTTATATTCTCTTATAATCACTTATTTTATTTTCAGAATTTGTTTTATAAAAATCAAATTCTTTTAAAGATTTGAGCAATTATGTTGTGAAAGCAGCATTATTGTCCAAGGCTAGGTGAGCACTAGTATTAATATTTGTCCTTTGCCTAGTTAGCTCCACAGTCAACTAATGCGGCTCATTAGATATTTTGACCCTTGCAAAAGATTATCAAACAATCTGATGATGAACAGCAATAATGCTGTGCTCTTTAGCATTAAAATCACCAGACTAATGGGGGGAACTGGTGAAGACCCATCAACAGAGGTCAACATAAAAAATTTTCATGTTTAAACTTTATAAACGAACCTTATCTATTAATAATATTTTTGCTAACACTAGCCATTTAGCTGCTTCAATTCATCAATTCTTTGTGATTATATGGTAAGCCCATTTCTGTAGCAAATCAGCAAATATAATTATGCAGTTTATATAATTCACAAAGATAATCACCATTTTTATGACCTTTAAGCAATGAACATGGAATATAATTATGTGGTTGATATAGTCAAGACTGCCTTAATTTCACTAATTGACAAAAACACCGTCCATTTCATTAGCAATTAAGGAAAATTATATGCCACGTTTCTTTTCTGATATTAATAATTTTATCTTAGATTATAAATTATTATAAATTGTCGCCATTTTAACTGTTCTGGTGGGCACTCTTTGGGCCTTTAGTGTACATTCAATTTGCCGCCCAGTTCCTAACATCCAAACAATAAGCAATTCCTATTAGATGGTAGAAGACAAAGCTTTACAATTATTGCTCTTGAAAATCATAATTGATTTCTGCTAGATTTTCCTTCTTTTCTCTCATTGAAATCATTAGACTTTTAATTAACTTAAATATTATTAAAATTTAAAATTTAATTAACTCGAACCCATAATTTAATTTATTCATATAATTTTTTAAAAAATGATATTCGTTAAATTTAAATTTTTAATTTTAATTTCATATGAAAATCATTCATCATTCGCACTTAAGTCAATGTCAAATTAGCCAACAGTTCCTGCCATAAGGTATCACAAACTCACAATTCCCTTAATGCACATTCCGTACGTACAAATACACATGTATGCATGCATGCATGATGCATGTTTGGCTATGGTCGGAAATGCCAATTGCAAGGAAAGGGATTTTATTCAATTTCTTTTACATGAAACTATAGATAGTCTTGAACATTTTCTGTTGGCAAAAATCTTTTTGTTTGTTAGGTTTTGGGTGATCGAAAGAGATTAAATTAAACAAAGCGCAAAGCAAATGTGATTTGATAAATCCAATAGAAAGGATTAGGACAAAAGAAAGAGTGTGAAGAAAGAGAAAAGGAAGGAAGATTAGAGATATATATAAAATTATGTTAAGTAATTAATTAATTATAAATTGAAAACAAAAAGTTCAAAGAAAGCAAACGTGAATGCTCATTGCTTCTGATGATCATCATCACTTTTCCTCGCATGTACTCGATCTCTTTCACTCTATCTTCCCTTCAAACTCACGAAATTTCTCCACTCATTGCAGTGTTGGATCACATTTTTCGTACATCACATGATCAAGTTTTGATATAAATAAATATTCAATTGGTTAACTAGCCTTGAACTATGCATGTTGTTATACACAAGTGTTGTTACTAAGCATATGTATGTACTTTCCTTCAAGATGATGTAAATCCCATAAGTAAATCCAAGATTGAATTCAATGTCCTGCTTGTGAAGATATACCCCAAGACGAATTTCAATAAAAATAATTTTTTTGTACATGTATTATCGAATTACATAATAATTAAGCGTACTAATTTAATCTAACTCGTCTATTAATTAAGATGAAACTTTAAACTCTAGTGAGACATAAGTTTTAGAGTTACACTATAAGAAAGGAAGTATCTGATCATCACCATCAACTTTCAATAGGACTACGAATGAATGTTGTTCCCTAGCTTTTATTATTTTCCCTAGTTCTAAAGTAACGAAAGAGCTATAATGGTACTTTATGGGATATGGGAAGGGAGAGACCAAATTAAGGAAGGTTTAGCTTCTTAGAGATCATAGTACTTTATCATCGATTAGGTTTGTGGAAAAAAGGTTGAGAGATTCCTTTCAGATCATGGGGGGGATGGTGATGAAGGACTAGAGATTCCATTCAAATCAATGAAAACCAATGTTTTGGGGACACCAAAATCCAACTAAATGTTCATTGACATTCTCAGCCTAACAAGGAAAAAGTTCATATACCCCAATTTAATTTCCCACTGCCACCATCATCCCACCAAAAAATGTTATCAAAAGATAACCTCCACCACCGTCCCTTGGATTTGACAGACCACGGTACATTGTTTCCCAGCACGTTAACTTGTAATGTCTAAATGCATAGCTAATAGACTATTTCTAGAAATATGATGGAAAATCAGAGAATTTGTTTGCTAGCACGTAAGTAAAATTGTCCTATTAAGGCAAATGCAATTCACAATGGCATCTCTGGAATTTGACCAGTATATTGGTGCATGAGCTGGATGTAAATATGCATAACTGATTTATAATTATGTATGAAAATTTGAGGGTTTTTTTTAAGGAATTGAAAAACTATCTTTTTAATACTTAAGTTTAAGGACTGAATCTAAAAGTTAAATACACAATCTAAAAGAAAGGGTTGTTACATATACTTTGATGGGTGCAGCCCCATTGGCATGACTCAGTTAAGAGATGGTGGTGTGGCCTGGGATAATTTGATGTCTAATTTTGCCTTTTTTCGGTGGCTTTGGAAATGGATATGAATTCATCATGTACCATCAATTACAAAGGAGAAAAGATGGTGCCTCGTGACTACAACTTATACATACATACATACATATATATATATTTATATATACTTGGAATTGGAAAGGGTGGCTTTGGTGAATTGAAGGACCCGTTTATTTCATCATTTCCATTAACAAAAAAGAAAAAAAAAAAAAAAAAAGAGAGAGAGAGAGAGAAAAGAAAAATCAACAAATCTTTAAATTTTTGTGGTTTAGTTGTGTTTATCAGCAGCAATTGGAGAAGGGGTTGTGTTGGAGTGTGAGGCGTACGGAAAGCTTCCAAAGACTATAAAAAGGGAGTGTCATCAATCAAAAGCTTAAGGCATTCACATCACTGCATAATATGGAATTATCCTAATGATTATGTGCTTAATGCCTTAATCAAACTTTTAGCATATATGCCCCCATTCACACATGTAAAACTGGCGGAATTGGAAACCATCAGAGATATTCTATCACCTCACATCTCACTATTTGGGCTAATTTTTTCTTCTTCCTTTATTGATAAATGTATTTATTTTTTTATTCAAAAATTGGATTTGGGTATTTCCGATAAAACAAGACGATGATGCATTGGCATTGGTAGAAGATAAAGCATAAAGCGCAGATTATTCCTGACAGAAAAAGAAGAAAGTGGAAAAGAAGTCGGGAGCTTCAGGCTTCGTGCTTAATCTTATTGGGTGAACCTTGGAAATGGCAGTGGCAATGGCCAATAGCCAAATGGCAATGGCGAAAGCGTTAGCGATCCCGAGGAAAAAAGCACCTACGACCTCTACACACGCAAAGCCACCCACAACGATTCCAACGAAGACAAGGCAACCATCACCAAAAACATAAAGAACCTCTGAATTCTGATGCAATACTACCCTTCAAGATATAAGGGTGCCGGTGGTCAAAGAGGATGAAAGAAACAAAGGCGAATGCGTGGATCCACCACTGACTACTACGTTAATGAACTATGAAAATCGCAGGAGAAATGCCTTAAGTTAACGAGTACAGCTGGTAACAAGTTGGAATTTCTGGTTTTGCTCTCTTAAACATAATTGGCAGCTAGATTCGCGATCAAAACTCTTAATTGCATCTATCAAAATACATTCGTTCATTATAACCTCAAATATATGTATATAATTTTGGAAGAAAATAATTATACTTCCAACATTTCACATTTGCTTTCTGATTACACAATATGCACTGTTATTATCTCTTCTATCTTAATCTAATTAATTAAGAAAGCTATGCTGGATAGCACATATGGTTTTGTGGGTGGCTTAGTGCAATTTAATAAAAACAGTACGAAAAAAAAAAGCGGGGGATTAAACACCAATTATGCATTGAATTAAAAAGGATTGTGGGTTATTGCACAAAGAAAACTCTTAAACTTTCTATGGCTACTTCACTCCCTTGCCAGATAAAGGGTTAGTTTTCAGAAGTTTGTCGTCCAGCTAAGATTAGCCAACTGAGGCTGTTGGTAAGCGCCTACTTGAGCCCCAGGAGCGGCTGGGGCAACCCCAACACCAACATTAGCACCCATAGCAGGGCCTAGATGATGTGGGTTTGCCATTGCAGCAGGCTGTGAAGGATGATACAACCCTGAGAATTGCATGTGAGAAGATTGGACTGCAGCAGCATTAAAAGAAGCGTGGCTTGTGTGAGAAGGCATATAACCATGAGGTGTTTGTGGCATATTGTAGTATGGAGCAGATAGCAAGCCCGGTAGCTCCCTCGGGTTTTGAATCCAGAGATCTGATGTATCAGCCTGTCAAATGAAAATGCAGACGCTATGATCGAAAATCAAACTCACCAACTGAACAAACACTAAACACGTCAAGGACACGAGAACATTTCATCAAACCAAAGAAGCACATGCTAAATTACAGAAACTCATGGTGCATGGGATGATATATCAAACCATAATTGGAAATAGTTAGTTACACCTCCAACAGGCTCAACTTTGATATCATGACTCAACCTAAACGCAAAAGTCAAACTGCAAAATTCATGAGTGAGAACCCCTCCATTACTTTTTTGTTTATTACTTCCAATATATTCTATATCATAATTCGCAATTTCACAGGGCCCAGTCATCAATCATGGACTCAACAAGTAGAACAGTCAATATGGGTGCATTGGAAATAATTTATGAAAAAGTAATATAGAGGAACCAAACACAAACATGAATGACCTGACTCAATAAGTAGCATTAAAGCAGTCTATGGTTGTGTATTTCAGGGTTCACTACTCTGATATCTAATTCACCTACAAACACAAAGGTCAATCACTCAAAAAACTTTCAAGAATCAAACATATCCTAGCTATTTATCTTAATAATATGCATTACTTTTTTTCTCACTGGTTGGGAGTTTCTTTAAGCAGATAACTAGACACCATGTTGCTCTAGCAGACCAATTACACTGCCAACCAAAACCAGATACAACAAAACCCTCAAGTCACAGTCAGTAATGCCTCAATATTTAGTTTATCTATGCCTCAATATTAAAGAACATTTATTTACCTGTTGATTTGGAACATAGATATTGCCATCTTTATATTTGATCCGAGATGAATCTTCAAGAACTGCTGCATTCCCAACTACACCAGAAGCGTTGATTGCATACCCAGATGGAGTGGTAAAATTTCCAAACCCAGTAGGACTACCAGCAGGAACTGGCTTGAACTGCTGAATCCCATACTTAAGGCCATTTGCATTAAGATGAGAACTGCCTCCTGGCATCAGCAAATAGCTGCTACCATTTGATGGGTGCGGATAAGCAGGGTTACTGGAATAACCTGGCATTGCCATCTGTGGTAGATAAACCGGGGAGACAAACTGACGATATGGCATAAGATTAGCAAAATGGGACATGTGAACTTGAGGATACATCTGTGCCATTGGTGGTTGTTGCTGTGGCACCATTGGTATTGTTGATGCTGGGATGTTGGCAGCATGCATGCTTAAGGCCTACAATTGTCATTTAGAACTTGCATCTATTCAGGTGATAAAAACAAACAAGCCTTTTCTGAAACAAATTCGGCTTCTTAAATGCATAGTAATGGCACTAACCTCCTGAGGGGATAGTAGACCCTGTAATCTCACAGTTTCATCTATTGGGGGTCTGAAATATGGTAAATCATAACCAGTTTGGGGGTCATACGCCTGCTATCAAGCCAATGTAACATCAGAAATTCCATCAAAGGAGCAATAAAAAATAGGTTTTTATTCCAAAATTAAAAGTTGTTTTATATCAGTTTCACTGACTGATAAATTACATAAATACTCATTTGGGCAAGATGAAAGGTTTAAATTTAGATGACACCTGTCATTATTCATAAAATTTCACTTACCGAAAAACTAGGCAACTCAGGAGGTTCTTGCTGCTGTTGTGACTCCGAAGGAGTATAGGATGGACTGTTGTCCTGGACAATTCCAATATCGCCATAACTATCCATATTCTGGGGACTTAAAGTATCTTCCTTATCATGCAGTTGATGGTCAGATGTAGTACCAGAGGGTGGAGAATCAGATCCAGAATTTCTAAGTTGATCATCTAAAATGTCAATGGGCTTGTAACCAGCAGCACCATCACTGGCAGTATCGGGAGCAGACACAGACATACTGCTTAGATCAAATGCAAGTGCAATGATATCAGAAAGAGGGTCTTGACTCAAGGACGAAATTTTAACCTTAGATTCTACCAAATGAAGGTAATTACTTCGGGAAAAGGCCAACCTTGAAGCAGATTTCCCATTGGAATCTTCTGCAACACCAGTGGCTTGAAAACCTGGCACAAAATTCCTTGAAGAATCAAATTCCACTCCAAAGCTGCCAAAAGTTAGTTGATGGCAATCATTCTCCAGGACTCGGATATGCTGTGCTATGATAACATTCTCATTTTCATGGATATTTACTTGAGAAAACTTATCTTGCAATTTAGCTGTTTCTAAATCCAAGTCCTTGGCACCATCAGCAGGAGGTGAAGAAAACTTCTTTGGTGTTCCAAAAACTCCAGGATTATTAACACTTGACTTTTGGTTTGATTTTGGTTTCCACTCTTTATTATGTTGGTTAGCTGCATCAAATATGCATGATAAACTCTCACATAAACTTAAGAAGCAAGTTCAAATCAAGTGCTATAACAACTGCAACCTACTAACAGCCATTTGCTAAAACTGCAGCTTAAAGTGATAAAATGAAATCTAACTGGGTCAAAGAAAAGACGAACAACACTACAATAAGATGCTTCTAAGGTATTATGAAAATGCATGGAATTGATATCTAATATGATCACTAGTTTATTGTCTCACATTCTCAAATATAAAACCCAGTAGCATGGAATTGATATCTAATATGATCACCGGTTTATTGTGTCTTACATTCTTAAATATAAAACCCAGCAGATGCCGAAGTTCCTCAAACCTTCAAGCAACTTAAAATTAAGTGAAAAGAAACTGCATTTGGGTTCTATTTAACACAACGGTAACATATTTGCAAACTAAAAATAGTAATAACAAATTAATAATAGCAGAAAGGCATCAAAGCCACATGATACAGCAATAACCAGCACATAATGGGTTAAGCTTTTCTTTAGATTCTTTTTCCTCTAATATTTTGTAAATACATGTTATTTAAACTTTTCTCTTGTATTAGAGTAAAAAGAATAACAAGGAAAACATTTCTTAAGATAAGTATAGTAATCATATCAAACTTACCCCTTGACTAACAAAAAGGACAGCTTATAAGATGAATAATCATAGTCAAGTGGAGGTACCTTTTTGATGACCTGAAACTTGTTGATGTTGCTTGGCCCCATACTGATTGCTCACGAATGACCTGCTTCCAGAAATCCCAGGCATGACAGATTCAGCTACACTAGTATGGCTTGGCTGGTCTGCCCTAGAAATTGCAGGAAACTGTTGAAATGCCTCTGATGAAGTGTCTCTCCCTACATATGAATTGGAGAGAGAACCACTTGCTCCAGATGAACCTTTAACAGCATTTTCAGAAGGCTGACGGCGAACACCCACAACCCCAACTTCACGCTTGATAGCTCCAACAGCACCAGATGATCTGGAATCGGGAGAAGGCACATGAACAGGATCTGTAGAGGACGAATAAACCCCAACAACCGAGTTGCTTGATGATTGAGCGGCAGAATGCGCTTGACTATTATTGGGCTTCACTGCCAGTGACCGTGAAACAGCATTACGAACAAAAGTTTGCTTTTCCTCTGATATTTCTTTCCTATCAATAGCACTTGAATTAGCATCCCAAGCATGTCTCAGTTGTGAACTGGATGGTGCATTAGAAGTTTGGGATGAACTCCGAGAACTAAAGGGTCTCTGATTGCTCGGTATTCCAGTTGAACTGCAGAATCGAAATGAAAGGAGAACACTCAGTACAATGATTTCACAAGAACCACAATATCAGTAAATACAGGTGCAAAAAAAAGAAAACAAAGAATAAACAAAGCATAGAGTGGAACAGCAAATAAACAACTACCAAATAAACATTACCCCTTTTCACCAACATTCACAGGAACTTGCTCAGTTGCAGAAGTTGAGCATTGTGAGAAAGGAGGATTCATGTCTTTATTTGCATTTTGGTTAATTCTGTTGTCCCTAACAACACGAAACTCTCTGTTGACTCCTGCATCTAGTAAGGAACTACCCATTAAATAACAGAAAAAGGCTAGAAGTGCCTCATGATAATCAATAATCAGTTGAGGACATTATGTAGAAATAGATATGAAACAGTGCAATAATTAACTGTTCTGTAGACAAGAGAAACTAACACACATAGCATTTGTAAAATTAATATAAAATACAAAAAAAAAAAGCCTAAACCTGTGGGGTTTCATGGAAGGATGGATTAAGAAGATTTGAATTCTTAAGGGCCGCCAGCTTTTGATAAATGAATAATAAAGAAAATATATATATATATATATATAAAAATGGTGTAGGCAAGTACAAGGGTACCAAGAAAACCTCATCAGAACACCATATTGCACACATTGCAAATCTTTGACATTAGGCATCAATATACCAAGACTACATACAATAGCACAAATCATTACAATCACCAATTGCTCTATTATCATCCAAACTTTCAAAATCAACTTTGTACCAGATTAAACAAAGGAAATCATTAAAGACAATTAACTTTAATTCTTCATTCCTTGAACATAGGGCAATGTAATGCTTAGCTTGAAGAGACTAAATCAAGTAGTAACTTGCCAAAAAAAAGTAATAATAAAGGTCAAATCATTAAACACATTGTCTTACTGCATTACCAGGCAAAGAATTCCGAGTATAGCCTCCTCTTCGAGAACTACGTTCAGAATATGTACGAAATTTCATCCCTGGACCAACATTCTCAGAACGTTTTCTTGGATCCATGGAACCTTTGTACCCAATGCCCTATCATAATGAAATGTCATATCAGAACAAGTTTTTCACATCTGTTTCTCAACTCTTCTAGTGGGCTCACATTTCAAGATACTTATAATAGGAATACAAGGCATCATCAACATTCTCTCAATTACAATGGATACAAGTTAAATCAAATGCATAACTATCACAGAATACATTAATAGCAGAATAATATAAACAACTAAGAATTCAAAAACAGTAGCACCTATCAATTACTGAAAATATGTGCAGATCAACAATCAAAGCTAAGATAAAAATACACAAGATGTTGAAAAAAACCTTCTATCGCTAAAGAAAGCAAAGTAGTGAACAAAAAAGATTTGCCAAAATCCATAATAGGATAATATACAAGATTATACCTCTTTCTTCCGATCTCTTTTTCTTCTTACCACATGAAAGGTGTCTGAGAAAATACAATGAGATGAGATGTAAATAATAAACATCTATAACAATTACACTTGAAATCTCATTTTAAACAAAAGAGGCAAACTGAAACCACAATATATCCCAAAGGAAAAAAGAAAAAAGAAGAAATTATCAACTTTGAGAACTCATAAAAGGCTCAAGAACAGCGGCCTCTGTTGACCAATTCACCAATTTGATGAAAGTTGTCTAAACGACAGAAGACACAACCAATCCCATCTTACCTTCGGTAAGTAACAAAATGAGGAAAAAAATACTAAAATGTCCAACTATACCAGGTGTGAACCTCCCAGGGTCACAAGTTCACCTTGAATGGCATGGCAAGAACCACTAGACAGGCATAATTCTCAAGTCTATCCAATGTCATAATGCCAAGCAGGATCATAATGCTGGTTTTATGACATACAAAAAATAAGCTGCTTACTAGTCATGCATCAAAATCACTGGCCAAAGATTGAAAAATAGAACAATAATTTACATAACATGATACCTATAATTGCATTCTATATCCACTGGATTCAACCAAACTATACAATTCAGTCAACCTTGATATGCATAGATTTTGACTCTGGGTTATACTAATCAAACTTAAAACAATACTATACCCAGCCCCACCCCACCCCCACTATATTGGAGCAACCATACAAAGTTCTAGAAAAAAAAAATCTATTTATTGTTTTATCAGCAGGCTCAGAACCCAAATTGAAGAAAAGCGCCAAGGCAAAATGCACCTACTACATGAAAAAGAAGATTTAATACACAATCCTTCAACTCAAGAAAATGCACCTACTATAACAAAAAGAAAAGCATCAAGGCAAAGCAAAAGACGAAAACAAGTATCAACAAACAAGCAAAAAAAGGCCTTCTCAGCATGCTAAAACATCCTGCAATAATCGTCAGGCCCTAAACCTTATCAATAAAACAATAATCAGCTTTCGCACTCCAAACCAACACAAACTAAAATAACCCAATACCCTAAAACAGAAAAAACCCGATAAACAAAACCCCTAAAATAACGCAACTTGAACCAGAACAACCTTGACTCAAACGCCCGACACTTAAAACTACTAGAAAGCAAACAAACCCATTTCCCAAAAACATTAAAAAAAAAAAAAAGAATGAAAAGAAAGGGTTTTAGAAATAAAAAGGTGACCTTGATGAAGCAATTTCTGGGCAGTTTCATTAGGATCCATGTTGGCCTCTTTCAAGGCAACATAGATATCATCATCAGAGTGATTGCCGACTATTTCCTTGATTGACTGTATTGTCTTCTTCACTGGCGATGAGATATCTGCTTCGATTCTCTCCCCACTTACCATTGCTCTCTGTTTCAAAATACTTAAAAAAAGAAGAAAAGAAAAACACTTTCTCACTTTCCACACTATTGTTTTTTGTTAAACAAAAAACCCAGTTTGATTATCGAAATTCTACTCCGAACATAAAGAGGGTTATTCGATTTTTTATTATTAATATCAAAACCCCTTAAAAGATAAGAGCTAGGGTTTGCATTTAGAGAGAGACAGAGACAGTGAAGAACCTTTAGAGAGAGAAAGCAAGGGCTTTGAAAATGTGTTTACTTGGGAGAAATTCCTAATTGAGATCTGTTTAATGACTGATCTGCCCCTCAAAATTTTGTATAAAATGCGTTCTGCTGTTTTGCCCTTTGATTTACAAGTGTAAAATGAGGGAGAACGCGTTTGTTTTTTAAATTATTTTACCCTAATTGGGTTTTTCCTTTTGGGAAAAGAAGATTGATTAGTATTATTTTTTAATACTAATTGAGTTATAATTGCCAATCATGTTCATGATTGTAAACCATGTTCTGTGATTTGGTTCATTATAACATTTTTTTTCTTTGGTGTATAATAAAATTATAAATAAAAAAATATTAATATATACTTTCTCAGTTAAAAGCAAGTTAATGATTTTAATATCATGTTCATTACTAATCATAATTTTCTTTTAATTGTTCAGTTAAAAAAAAAAATTGTAGCTGCATTTATTTGAAATTTTTATACGACCATGGCAAAATAGATAGTGAGCCATCATAACCAGTACAAGAAAAGTTGGGGCCTCAATTGAAATTATTTTCACCTTGATATTGTAAATGAATTCAATTTAACAATTTATGAATATATTCTATTGAATTTCGTTTGCATTTATTTATTAAGTTAAATTTGATTTTTTTTTTCCTTTTCAAACAAGCCCCAAAGCACCAACAGTTGCATCCATCAAATATGGAAAGAAAAAAAATCGATAATTGAGGATATATGTAAGCAGAACAATAAGCAGAGTTGATGCATGTAGGCTATGTGATTAGTTGTGCCTAGGCACACAGAATTGTCTAACACCAGTAGTTAACAGGGGACAAAACTTCCAAATGCCACCATATCTCATTGATTTGCTAAATCTCACAAGTACTGTTCTTGTATCCTGGCTCGATTTTCTTCCCACCACATCCTTGCATGCATTTCTCCAAACCTGTCTCGGCTGCATCATAAATATAAACAAATAAAAATGATTTTATTACTATATCACAATGCTTGAATTAAATGTTAAGCTCTTCACTGCTGTTTGAATATGGGGTCATGGAGAAATGGAAAATTGGAGTCCTAGATGACACTGGTTGGGGGGGGGGGGGGATGAGGAGTAGGGACTATTGCACAAAAGGCCCGCATTTCACAGAGGGATAACCTGGCAGGTGAGGGGACCAACAGCAGAGTCAAACTAGCAACAATAAGGTTTACGTTTTTGGATCATTCACTGACTCCATATGCACTAAGGAAGCTGTTTGCACTCCCACTATGACCAAACTGAATCTTATAGGAGCGTGGTTTTGTTTTTTATTGTCGAAACAGGTTCAAATAGATTTATTTATACAAATTTAACAAATTCATAAGCAATTATCTTTTTTACAACCTTCTAACAGATTCGAACCCAAGCAACAAAAAAAAAAAAATACTCTCTTTGTCACCTAAGCCAACCATTTTATTTGCTTCTATAAGGATTGTCTCATCACTGGAAATATAACTGAATGCTAAGTATGATAACTATCTATTGCAGCTAACATAACAAAAGACAACAAACTTCATTTAAAGGAAAAAACGAAAAAGAAAACCCTCTAATCAGAACATAATCCATAGACCATAATGCAATAGGAGATAAAAGCAAGGATGGGTTGGTTGTATTCTCAGTAATTGGTATGGTCAAACTATTCTCAGGTCTCATTTGCTTCACGTTAGACTGAACATACATTCTAGCTGTTTATCCAATAACTGCAAAGGTTATTGCTATTATGTTTGACAGTCAAACAAATTACTATTCACAAAGGACATAGAGGTAATAAACAACAAATTCATAGGAATTTATTTCTTATGAGTAGTCAGACAGTCAAAATGTCAGGCTCTAGCATTTTTCTTTTGCAAATAAGGCCTTGGATTCAAATCTCGGCTTGAGAGTTTAAGAGTCCTACAGATTAATAAAGCCTATCAGGAATGGGTTAAAGCCAACTTCATGGCAAAGAAGGATGGAATGATCTGTTAATAATAATCAGCAAGGAAACATAAGATCAAAATTAACAGTTTGGCTTTTGTTTCCATCCATTCTCATGTCTCAAAGAAAAAAAAATGCAGTCACCAAGTACAATAAGACGAATTTGACCTTTAAGCCATCTATCCTCTATGTAGAACAAACCACATACCTGAAGCGGACACGTCTAAGCTCCCGAGTGCCACCTGGAAGTGCTCTAATAGTGATGTGAACCCCTGGCTCATCCTGTTCAACCCATTCAGTTTCCGTATCACTAGCTTTACTGATGGCGAGCTCTCCAGAGCGATCCTCTCTCGATGAACTAGTACTAATAGAGCCATCTATCAATGATGACTCAGTCTTGGCTCCACTAATGCCGGAGAGTTTTGGTGTTGAAGCAAGTGTAGCTGAGTCATAGTATTGACCGGATTGTATTGGGTGACGATCCAGGGAATCTGATAACAAATAGCCCATTCCTGTTGGCCGGACAAAGTTGCGGGGTCCTTCTTTGTTCAGGGTTGGAGTCACAGGACTGTCCTTTGCAGATTCGATTCTTGAGCCCTAAAAGGGAAGGATGAAAATTAATTTGCAGAATAAAAACACTTTGGACAATTCATCTTACTAAAAATAAGACGATTATGGTGATCTTTGCAGGGAATTCAAAGGCATGAGTTGGTGAAGTCCTAGTTCTTATCTTTCCAATGGTTTTGCTTCATTCTATCTATTTTTAAGTGGTGAACTATGAAACTCCTTTAGCATGCTTTGGGATGTGGATTGGACACTTACACTAATTAGTTTGAAAGTAAAAAATCTAGTTAGATATATTTGATTACCACACATTTAAAGTAGATGCAATCACTCCATGATTGATGATCTTTTCTCTATGGTTTTCAGTCAACTATATGTTTGACATTTTCAGGGTTTCAAGCAATATTGTTTTTTAAATGTCACACATGCAGAAAACAAGCTTACTTCATCTTCAGATCTTGTGGGAGATGGAAGTGGGACTGCTTGATGATTAAATTGCTGAACATTGTATAGTTCCATAACCTTGTCATAGTTCTTTGCCCACCACCTTTGAGCTTGGCATTTATTGAACATTTCACGACTGATTAATTAACAAAAGGATAGATTAGCAGTCCAGGCAATCAACAAGAAATTATAGAATGAAAGAAGATCAGAAGCTGATAATTGCAGTGTTGAAGTTTTGTAATCCATGAAATGGTTATTTATTTGATAGAATTACAGAAGCCTGGTGCTTGATAATTACACTTGAACCCATTAACAAGATAATCAAGAACATCAGTTGGCATTCAAAATGTTATCAAGAAGAACCAGGTCACTAACAGGCAAAGTCATAGATCTTTAAGTTCCCAATTGATAATATAAAAACCTAAATGCTCTTTGTGCTATATTGTCCAAAAATAGTTTTCATACAATAATTATCAGAACTAAATATCCCATAAATTTAGCAGCCTAATCAGTAGATTAAAGGTAGGTCTGTTAAAAAGGCCAGGAAAAATCATTGCACAATTTGCAATCTTATGTTTTTTTCATATTTAGTGGTAATCAGTTTCACTCTTCAACTATGGTTAGTTTAGCCAATATTTTCTAGATGAAACGCATACATAAGAATGTTTCAAAGTGCAATACAAGGAGAAAACCAAAAAAAAAAAAAAAAATTGAAAAAGAACTGAAAAGAAGTGAATTTTTTCCTTTTCAAAATTTCTGATAAATATATTATCATCAGTTATATAAATCATGCAAGATGAGATCTCCTTATATATCCATTCCTAAGAGATAGAGAAGCATGTTTGTCAAAATACTAGGAGATGAAGAAAAATGCAATAAATCAGCTAGCATACAACCATAAATTTATGGTCTTATTTGTTCATAATCTTCTGTCAAATTATACACTTTTGAAAATTATGAGATAGTAGGGAATTACACATTAATAGAAACCATTGGTGCTTAAAAGCTGAAGCCATCAAGTTTCCTACATGAGAAGCACAAAAGAAAGGAAAATGTATCCTGATCGAGATTGTCCAAATTCCCAAAGGAGTTGAGAAATGAAAAGCTTCACATGGTTCACACTATTTTTTGGCCATAAAGAACAACAGTTACTTGACAAGCAATGACTTGATGAACAAAGGGACATTTTCTTGTGATTCTAATAAATGCTTTTTATGGTCACTATCATTAGGTAATGTAAAATTTGCCAGTGAACTCCATGGAGGACAAAAGGGAATTGTAAGTACCAACATCACATGTGAAGAAGACATATCTTTAGTCCTTTAGTGTTACACTAGATTCACCAATCAGTGTACTGTCTACAGAAAGATCACATAGAACTTGGCCCCAAGTGTCAACTCAAGTTCCAGTTAACTTATGCCAATACCAAGATTACAACCCACTGTCCAAGGAGTAAGAAACACATCCAGATTGAATGGTTTAACCATCTAGCAGTTGAGCTTATTTAGGCAGGAGACAAAGGACTTACTGCCCTTAGTGTGGCATAATTCACTTGGAAATGCAAAAAAGCTATAATGTCAATTGGGTCAAGCCATAAAGAGAGACCCATATATGGGGCCACTTCAATGATGCTATATAGATTTTAACTCATAAAACCTCACATGAAACTTTGGTGTGACGGTCACATACACATAAAATGACAAAGGATAATAGAAAAATGCCCCAGCTCCAATTGCCACCACCACCAAAATAGCCACATGCAACCACAATCCAACAAATTGAAACCTTCAATATCAAACTCAAGAGCCAAGAATGGCATCCAAACAACACGGAAACAATTTTAAAACAAAACAATAATAACACTTCAAAACCAGATATCTGATGCACAATAAAAGTAGAGGACCATACAAATATGGCTACCATTTCAATACCAAATATAAAAATCATGTGATCACATCCAAACAAATCAGAACCTTCACTATCGTATATACCAAAAACAAAATAAAGTACCTGAATCGAATTCGTTTCAGATCATTCCCTCCCTGAGGCAACGAAACAAAAGTGATTAAAACACCAGGCTCCACTTGTGCAACCCATTCCTTAGGCTCATCTTCCTCCATAAACACTACTGATCCTGCCCGGCCACTAACGGAGGCTGGGGTATCTTCACCACTGGAAAGTCCTTTTAGTCTTGACTCCATTTCTTTGCCCCATATTGTGGGCGTCGAGTCCGTGCTTCCCGTTCTACGGTAAGGACAATGGAAGCTTGCTGAGTCAGAGTTGGCATCAGAGTCTGCATAGTTCAGGTTATGGTTTGATGAACCAGAACGAGACTTGCAGTTTTTATAAGCTCCAGACACTTTTAATGCAATGTCCTTGATCTGGAAATTATATAAAAAGAAAAAGCCCTCCGTCAGTTAAATTCTTACTCTGTTGGAAAAAAAAAAAACTAGATAACAAAACAAACTCGATAAAGATTTAAGTTATGGCGGACCCAGGATTGCTATGTTTGGTTGATAAGAAAATGGAGGATTGAGGAAAGCAACAGAACAGAAAAATGAATCCCACCTTATTTTCTCATGAAAAACAACATTGAACCCATCAAAGTCAAATTATAACGAAAACTCCTCTTCCTTTTAGCAGCTTCTAAACAGTGAAAAACTCACAGGATTCGAAGCAGAACTTCAAATATTCCTAGTCGTTTTTTCCCGCATTTTCTCAGCAAATAAACCCAAAAACATGTATATAGTAACAAATAACAATACCTGAGAAGTGAGGCCCTTAATGGCTTGCCTTGTCCTAGGAGTCTCCAACGTATCTTCATCCTGTTGGCGCCCAATAGATCCATTGTTATTATTTAACTGCTTTGAACAAGCTATACACGTTAACATCTTCCCTTCTCAGTTCTCTCTCCTTTTTCACCCCAAACAACAACAACCCAGATCAGATTCAACAACCAAATTTCATAAACAAATGTATGTGGCTATGTCAACGAGAGAAGGAAGCTTGTCTATTGGAAATTTTCATTGGTTACGACACGTTTAAGGCTTTTTAGAATATTTAAGCTTCAAAAGGAATAAGTCGGCTGTGAGATTTTTCATAACGTGCAAGAGTAAAAAGAAAGAAAGAAAGAAAGAGAAGAAGAATCAGAGAGATACTAGGGAGGGTGTTTGGATTGATAAGGGAAGCAAAAAAAAGAAGTGACCGTTAATGGAGGAGGAAATAGGGCATGATTTTTTGGGATGGAAAAGAATAAAAGAAAGAGTAAGAAATACTCTGTTTTCTTTGCCTCAGCCTCTGCCTTTGCTTTCTCTTTCTAAAAACTAAATAATAATATTATTATTATTTAATAATAATAAAATTAAATAATAATTAAGATGAAATATATGATATACTGAATATTCAATTTTATTAAATTTTCACTATAGTTTTAATTTTGTTAATTTTTAATAAAAATAATGAAATAGAAATATTTCACTAAATATTCTATTATGCAAATAATAAATTTTGTTATCATACTTTCAAATTCATCTATTTTTGAAAAAAAAAATAAAAGAATTAAAATATTTTGCAAAATGTTTTGTTTATGCAAGTGGCAAATATTCATCAATTTCATTATTTTATATTCGAAATCCTTAAGGATTAATTTAATTTGTAAATATTAAAATTCGATTTTTAAAATTTAATTTTTTTAATTTTAATATTGATAAAATAAAATAAAAAATTGCTGCCACTGCCGATTAAGTTTTTAACGTTTTAGAGGGAAAAGTGATCTGCATGAAACTGGAAAAGGGCATTATTATATTAGATGAGAAGGGAGGAGAGCCGTACCATGGATTGTCTTCTTTTGGGTGGGTGGGGGGGGGTGGCGCCACCCTATGGACCAGATCAGCGCCGACTCGGAATTAGAAAAAGGACAGCAAAAGGTGAAAAAAACCTAGAACAGACGCCTAAGGCAGCAGTTCTGTAGGAGTGGCAGGCAGTGGGAATAAAAAAGTAACTTTTTATTTTCCCTGCTGAATTCCTAATCATATAATGTGAGTTTTGACTTTTAGTGTCAACGTTGTTTTCACTTTAGTTGTTCTCTACTGAAAGCCTCAAGACCTCTTTCCGGCTGACACCTGTCATTCTTGATGTGAAAACTTTCTTGTTGGTGTTGAAGAAATTGCATTCTAAATTGTTATTTCATGCATAGTTATTTAAATTTCATAAATAAAATCATATGCTTTTTATTTTATTAATATTTTAAATATACATGTTAAAAAAAATAAAAATTTTTATGTGTTTTTTTTAAGAGTTTATATTTAATATACTACTAATAAATTAGATAATATTATTTTATTAATGAATAAATATTAATTATTAAAATAAATATATAAAAAATAATATTTTTAAAAATTTATTTATTAATGAAATGATATCATTTGATTTATTTAATTTTTTAATAACGAGAAGAGGTGGTTTAAGAGATAGGGGTGAGCAAAAGTTGACTTAAATCGATTAGATCGATCAAAATCGAGTGAATTCGATTAAATCGATTTGATTTATTCGGTTTTAATTATAATTAATTTTTTAAATTGATTAATTGATTAATTCGATCAATTTTTTATTTTTAAAATTAATAATCAAACTAATCGAATTAACTGACTTTTTAATAAATAAAGATAAAAAAAATTGAGATAAATATTTTTATTTATTTTTTTATTATAAAATATTGTTAAAATTATTAAATTATTTAGTCATTTAATTTAAATGATACTTGAGTTTAAGTTTTATTAAATTGAATTTATGATTAAATAATTATTTATAATAAAAAAATGATAAAAAATCAGTTATTTAATTAAATCGATCGAATCAAATTAATTTTGATCAATTCGATTATAATCAATTATTTAATAATATTTTATCGATTCGATTATTTGTTAAGTGAAAATTAATTAAATTGATTATTGATTTTTTCAAATTAAATTGATCGAATCTATCATCTATTGGATCATAGGTGGCAGCCGCCTCATTTTTCACTTGTGGGTGAAAATCAAATATTTTAATTTGATTGTAATTGGTACTTTCTCCCAAGACGTTGGCGTCAATCAAGAAGAAAGAGCATGCAGCTGACCATTGAATTTTGCCAAGCGGTGAAGGACCATTTAGCCAAGGCAAGAGTCACAGGGCTAAGCCACCATTGCATTTATTTCAAAGAATATGCAAAGTAAGAGACACACCAACAAGTCAATGAGGTGCTGTGCTATGATGCCTCTGGTTGCAGTGGGAGGGACTCATATTATACTGTAGTTGCGTTTTATAATTGGACACCTAAGCGCATGGGGTGAGAGTTCTCCCATCAACTAGGGCTGTAAACGAGCCGAGCCGAGCCGAGTAGTGAGAGGCTCGAGCTCGAGCTCGACTCACAACTCGGGGCTCGATACTCGGCTCGAGCTCGATCGAGTTTTATTTTTCAAGCTCGAGCTCGATTCGTGATCGAATTCGAGCTACTCGAGTTCGCTCGATTAAGCTCGATTAATATGTAAAAATAAGCTCGATTCGTATACTCGACAAAAATTCGATTATTCATGCTTGAATTCGAACTCGAACTCGGACTCGAAATATTTTATTAATTAAAATAATAAAAATATATTTAAATATAAAAGCTCGATTAGGCTCGCGAGCTACTCGAGTCAGATATAATAATACTCGAATTCGGCTCGATCGATCAACATTCAAATGATACACTCTGTGTTCATTAGGTTGGTTTAGGGTTTTGTTAAATTAAATTATTTTATTTTTTTAATTAAAATTGAATTTATTATTTTTAAAAATTAATTATTTGAATCTAATTCGATTGGTTCAATTAATTTTTTAATTAAATAATAAATACATTTAAATTAAATTGTATTTTAAACTCTTAATTTTTTATATTTTAAATAAATTAAATAAAATTATCTAATAAAATATTTAAATATCAAAGTATTATGTTAAAATTCTAACAATTTGTGAAATAAAATGATCAATTTTATATATTTTTTATTTTATATTTAGATTACATTATAATTTCAATTAAAATTTTGATTAATTCGATTAATTTGATTTTCGAATCGAATTAATCAAAAATCAAAATTCTTTCAAAATTATTTTTATTAATCGACCTAGATTAATTGATCGTTGATCAATTAACTGAATTAGATCAGTTTAATCAATTAATTCGATTAAAATTAAATTATAAATACCCTAAAAAAATTATGAAATAATGAGATTTTATATTAAGTTTTAATACGTGCGGATTTGATAATCCAATTTTATAATTGATTTATTTGATTATATGCTATTCGTTTATTGGTTGGTTTATTGGGTTTAATTTATTAATTTTTATATGAGATATATAATATTTGATTAGCATTATTTTAATTTTTTCTTGTACAAATAAGTAAAAAAGACAAAATTTTAAAGCTAGTATTTTTCAATTATCAAGATTTCAAGATTCAAACTTGCTCAAGGAAGTTGCCCAAAATGAAAAACTAGCTCAAGGAAGAACTAAAGGGCAAGAGAGTTTTATACATTTATTTACTATTTGTTTAGCAAGATTCAGTCCTATTGTGGATGATAGTGTCATATGAACTAACAAATTTATTAAGGGTCAAGTAGGCCAATAGCATGTTTTGGCAAAAACTTAGGGGGCAATAGCCATGGTTTTACTATAATATTATTGGCTAATAAAGGCAAAGGAGTTAAGATTTACCTAGTGCCTTTTGCCTCTTGGTTCACATCAAATTTATTCTTTTGGAAAGCTTATTATTTTTGTTTATGGGACCTTTGTTTAGTAATTGAAGAACATTGAAAAGAATAAGAGTAAAAATGAAAAATATTCATACAGTTCAAATTTGGAAAGTAATCTTCTTCATTATTTGAAAATCAATGGAAGTTTTCGTTACTTTAAATTATTTTTAATTTATTTTTATATTCATTTTAAAGTTATTAAATTTCAATCATAAATTTAATTAAAAATACATTATTTACATTTCAATAGAATAATAGAAAATTTCACTGATTTTTAAATAGTAAAAAAATCTTTTCCCTTGAAATTTCCGTTTCACTTTGAATTGTTTGGAGAAAATGACGATTTGGGTAAACCAAAAAAAAAAGAACGAACTGTTCCAGGAACTGCATATCAATACACGTTTCACGTTTATGGAATGTATCCATTTGACTTTTCATAGGATACAGAAACTATGGATGAAACTGACAAATTGTGGGTCATCCCACACTCAAATCATTCAGTTGCAAATCTTGGAATGATTTTTTAAGTTGAATGCATTCTCAGCCAGGAAAAAAAATGAAAGACCTCAACCTTAATTATGGCACACGCAGTAGTGGCTGGCTGGCTGCAACCCTGCTACAATGGCAAGTTATAATATCTGATAGGTCCCCCCACCAAACACAAGTTGTTTCTCACCTTGAACCTCATATATGATTTTGTCATCAGTTTTGAAAATGAGAGTTTATAAATATTTGTACAGGCAGACAGGAGTTACCTTTGGGATGATGTGCAGCCAGCGACACAAAGTGGGAAACTATGATAATTTATAAATTAGAGATGAAGAAAAACTCTATCATGGCAATGCTTTTCTTTTTGGAGACAACCACCCCTAAATCATTCTTTTCCAAAGTTAAAAAGCTCAAATGTTCTTAGTCAATCAAGAAAAAAAGCTCAAATGTTCCTTAACAATGGAGGTTTGGCTTCAGTGGAGAGTTAATTTATATAACGCAGGTTCTTTAGGTTGGGCTGTGCTCTCTTCCAAAAACTAAGCCCATGGATTTCCTATATTTGTGTTATATTTATTTAATGTGAAATATGCATAAAATTAATATAAAAATTATTATTTTAAATTTATATTAATACATCAAATATAAAATATATTTTTTTAATAAATTCATATATAATTTTTATTAAAATTTTAAAACGTAATATTTTTATTTATTTATTTTTATTTTTTCGTATCATATTATGTTTTCGTATTTAAAATTATTATATCTACTTTTTCAACTTTTATCTCCCTACCTTAATCCAACGTATTGGACAAGGTGGGGGAAGTACTAGTAATAATTACTGCAAGTAAAGCACGCTAGAACACTTTCAAAGCAAGCAGTAAAGCATATCATATCACTATTTGGTGGTCTGCATGAGATTTTATGCAGAAAACTTTACATTGAAACATATGCTTCGCTTGCATGGTGTGATCAAATACTGCAGATGATGAACAGGTTGAATAATTCCTAGGTTTTAACATGGACAAGGATATATATGCAATTTCTGCTTTTGCATAAACAACAACTTTGCCTTAGAGTAGAAGGGTTTTGTTTGTATTTGTTGCTGAGTATTCTCAACATTAATTAAAATTATTATTCTGATGACAATAGTGGAAAAATACCAATGTATAGCAGATATTGACTGCATTATTATGGTTTAAATAATTGATCTTGAAGTAACTGATTGGTTTTAAGTTTAAACCTTGTGACTACTTACATGCTAGAGGAGCAGGAGATGGTTTCATTCTTTCTTTTGGACAGTGAAAGATTGATGATCTTCATTAAAAGATTTACGTGTGCTTCCCCATGCTCGGAACTTGAAGCTCCTTAATATGAATATTTTTTCTTTATCCCTTTTTTTTTCTCCTCTAAACAGATCAAAATTACAAGCTGTTGTGAAAATAATTTCAAACAGTTAGATATGAAAATAATTTATTTGTCATAAAAAGAATGATTTTTTTAAATAAAAAGATCATAGTCTAAAAATAAAAGAGTTATAAGTATTGAGATTTGAACTCTAAATCTGTAAAATATTATCTCTTAAGTTTTGTTTGATAAAAACACTACAGAAAAATAAAGATTTAGTGACTATTTTTTAACGGCATTTTAAAATAAACACCACAAAGTTCATTTTTTTTATAAGGTTAGTGACGTTTTTTATAAAACACCACAAAATTCTTATATAGCAGCATTTTGATTTTAAAATATCATTTAAAATATATTTTTGTGATGTTTGTTGATCTAAACGCCACTAACAAGTGTTTTTGCACTCTTTAAAAACCCTCAAAACATTAGAGGGAATGATTGAACCTAGAACTTTATGATTAATAACCGTATCTCCAACCGACTAAATTATTTTAGTGTTTTTAGCAAGAGATTATTTAAAGCATTTTTTGTCATAAAACGTATTGAATAATCTCTTTCAATTTTTTTAAAGGATTATAAAAGGTGTTTTTTGACAAAAAAATACATTGAATAATCCCTAAAAAAAATAAAAGGAGATTATTGAAGAAGTTTTTTTATAGAAAACGCTTTTAGTAATTCAAAAAAATGGAAAAAAAATTATTCAAAGCGTTTCTTGTCAGAAACGACTTGAATAACCTCATTGAATTTTTTTAAGGAATTATTTAAAGCATTTTCTGACAAAAAACATCTTGAATGATCCCTTTTTTTATTTTTTTTAGGATTATTCAAAGCTTTTTTGGTCAGAAACGACTTGAATAATCTTTAAAAAAAATTGAAGGGGTTTATTAAAGACGTTTTTTTTTACCAAAAACATCTTGAATAATCCTAAAAAAATAAAAAAATGAGATTATTCAATGCATTTTTTGTTAAAAACATCTTGAATAACTTAATTCAATTTTTTGTAAGGGATTATTCAAAGCGTTTTCTAGCAAAAAATGCTTTAAATAATCTTTAAAAAAAAGAAAAAATTATTGAAGTTATTTTTTTACATAAAACACCTTGAATAATTCTCAAAAAATGAAAGAAATTATTCAAGATATTTTTAGCTAAAAACGCCTTCAATAATCATATTTAATTTTTTATAAGGGAAATGCGTTTTATGGTAAAAAAACGCTTTGAATAATCTCAAAAAAAAATGAAAAGGGATTATTTAAAGCATTTTTGACCAAAAATACTATGAATAATCTAAAAAAAAATAAAGAGGATTATTAAAGATGTTTTTGGTCAGAAATGTATTTAATAACCCTATTCAATTTTTGTAAGAAATTATTCAAGGTGTTTTATGGCAAAAAATGTCTTGAATAATCTCAAAAAAATTGAAAGGGATTATTAAAGGTCTTTTTGGTCAAAAACGCATTCAATAATCACATTTTTCTGTTGGTAAATTTTACTTCAATTTCAAACCCGCGAGACCTTTTTTGGCTTTTCTTTTCCTTACTCATTTCTTTCATTTTTGCTCATTTTAGGTTGTTTTCTTCTCATTCTTTGCTTAAATTGCAGTCATTTTGTGATCAATTTTCATCTTCTTTCCTTTCATTTTTGTAAATTTCAAGTTAGCTTTCTTGCATTTTGGGTCAAATCCTTAAACTTTTTATCTGATTTGTTACGTTTTTGTCGCTGTTCAAGCTCAATTGGTAAGCTCCATTTCAACATTGACAATTTTCAATTTTTGACCTTTTTTTTTACTAATTTATTTTATTATCGCAATTCTGAGTTTGATTTTGTTTGATTGATGAGAAAAATGCAAGATAAAACAAAAAGTGAAAGAAACATGATTTTTCTTTGATAAACTTGAAATTTAACGTTAAATTTAATTACGAACATGAATGAAATTTTATGTTTAATTTTTTCTTTCAACAAAATATTTTTTAAATTATTAAAAAATTGTTACTTACTAACATGAATTTGTTGATTCATTCAAGATATCCTTAGAAAACTATTCTGAAATAGTCTATTATATTATTTTCATGTCATTTTGGCATTTATTTTGTTTGTTTTTCTAAATTATGATGTTTGATGAAACGACTTAAGTTTGCTTGAAAAGATTCATTATGCATGAAAACGATTAACAACAGAAGATGGTAGTGACCAATGTAAAAAAAATCTTTCATAAAATAGTAGTATTTCAAATCTATACAATCATTAATTTCATATATTTTAAATTTTTAGTTAATGTATTTAAATAATTTATTGCATGTATTAAACTTTTTATTCCATCCATATTGGAATAAATTATGTATTTATAATATTCAGTTTATGAATTTAAGTTCGTTTTTATTTCTTCTAATATTTTTTATTTAATGATAATAATCAATATTTAAAAAAATTTTAAAAAATAAATTTCTTAATTTAGAGACATTTATATCTAAAAACGCCTCTAAATACAAAAATGTATCGCACTTTCTACTATAAATGTCATTAAATTTAATGACATTTTTTGACTATAAATGCATTTAAATTTAGTAATGTTTTATAATAAAAATATTACTATTTTTTCTGATGCAAGTATAGGCAATACTTTTAGCGACGTTTTTGGCAAATATCGCTAATTCTTTAGTAACATTTATAAAACGCTGCTAAATATAAAAAAAAAATACCACTAAAAATCTAATCCCTATAGTGAAAAGATTAAAAAAAATAAAAATTTTATTAATCTAATGATTAAATTTATAATGACTTTTATTTTATAATTTAATTATTAGATTAATAAGTTTTTTACTTTTATCTTTTTTCATTCATTCCTATCGAACAAAACTTAAAAAATACGAATAAAAATCAATTGAATTAAGTTCTAATTAAAAAAAAACATGAATTTGATAGAACTTATAAATATATATATATGTTTATGTTTTTAATGTCAATATTTTAATTTTATTCTTTTCTTCCTTCCTTTTTCTTTTTTTTACCAAAGAAAAAACCAAAGTGTTAGGGCCACTGGTTGACATGTCCTCGTGACTGAGCTTGAGCTAGTAGTAAACAGCTTCATTCAAAATCTCTTTCTGCTTTTATCAAACGAAAGGTTGTTTTTACAATTGTACGAGGATAAAACGATGTCGTAAAACCTCAGCTTCGGAGAAGAAGAGATAAGAAAGAACAGTGGATTCTCGATCACGGATGGGCATTAAGATAAGAGATGGGACAATGTTTCAGACAGTTTTTCACTTGTTTGGCCCATATTCAGATGGTGAATATGGGGCCCACTTCACCCCAAACTCAGCAACTTCGAAGAAACATCCATCCCAATCCACCAATCAGCACAAAAACCAAATCCTTATACTCCTTCTCTGACTTCACCGGTTTTTAGCCCACTGCTCTTAACCCATATTCCGGTCTTTGTGATTATCTTCTGCGAAAATTTTCTTTTTCTTTTTTTTTCTCTTCTTTTAAAACCATTAGTTTATTGGATTTTCATTTTCAGTTTCCCCCAATTTTGCTTTTGAGTTACGTTCTGTTTGTAAAAGGAAGAATGCAGTTACATGGTTTTGCTTTTGAATTGGATAAGCGTTTTTAGCTTTGGACTTTTGACGTTTGATGCCGATATCTACTTGCTTTTGCTTTTTTTCTTTCCGAAACTAAGAAAGATTCTCTTTGATGGTTCAAGTGATTTTTCCCAGAAGGACAAGTTTTTAGACTCTTTCAGAACACAGAAGTGCAAAAAACATGTCTTTGCTTAGAAGAAGAAAACCCATCAATGAATCCGACAAAGCCTCGGAAGCTTCAGATTTAAAACCCCAAATAGAAAAAGAAGAGGATCAACAAGAAGATGACAATGGCAATGATAAAAACAAGAAAAAAATCCCACCTAGGATCAAGAAGAAACACGTAGAGAAACCACCCAAGTGGTCGTGTTTGGACACGTGCTGTTGGTTCATTGGTTGCATATGTGTATCGTGGTGGCTTCTGTTGTTTCTTTACAATGCAATGCCAGCTTCATTTCCTCAGTACGTAACGGAAGCAATAACAGGACCGTTACCGGACCCACCTGGTGTGAAGCTGAAGAAAGAAGGGTTAAGGGTTAAGCATCCGGTGTTTTTTGTGCCTGGGATTGTGACTGGTGGGCTTGAGTTGTGGGAAGGGCGGAAGTGTGCTGAAGGGTTGTTTAGGAAGCGGCTGTGGGGTGGCACTTTTGGTGAAGTGTACAAAAGGTATCCAATATTTGGTTGCTTAATTTTTTTTTTATTGATAGTTTTATGTTTTGCCTTTAATCAAGGTATGCTTTTAGGAAAACAGGTTTTCATTCAACTCTTTCAGGTTGCCGACAGTTGCACTTGTCATCGAGCTAGAAATTAGGGGTAGTTTTATGGTTTTGGATAAGGGGTACTGTTGATTTAAATGCTGTTTTTAGGATTGCTTGTTGATTTTGTACAACAGGTATTGATTTTTTAACATTGCTTTTTTTGCTTATGTGATAAAAGGTCTAGTTTGTGAATTTTTTGTAATTAAGGGTTAAGTCTACATTGGAGAGCTAGTTTTACAGTTTTTGGTGTTGTACTGTCGATATATGGATTTTAACTCTGGATCATTTGTTGTTCTTATTGATTGATTGTGCTTTGTTACTTGTGAGTTTGAAATTTGCAAGTGCAATAAGTTATATGGGAAGTTGAAGATTGATATGTTGTTGTGATTTATGAGGATATGGGGTCGCAGTTGTTGAATGGAATTGTAAGTTGGTTTGTTACTCATAGTGGCTAAATTGTAGGTGTGATTAGTTTAATCTTGTGTAAGCTATCTTTCTCAACTAGTTTCATCACTTGGTAGTAATTTCATTTTCTTTGTTTACTTTTCGACATGATTTTGAATGTCATGCTGAGCCTACAAGCTATCACATAAGCTTATATGGTTATGAGGGCCATCAGTTTACTATTTGCTTCTTGTTTCACATATAGACTTTCATGTTTTTCTTGAATTAGTTAACAAAATCCGTTGGATAGACATCTTTACTCTTTTAATTGTGTACCTTGCTGTTCTAAATTGAAACATGAGGTTGTATGATGCATTAAAACAATACAAAACAGAAATGGCCTTGTTAGATTTTCATTTTTTTGCCACAACCTGCAAGAGATTGATGCAATGGGTTTATCACATAAATGATATTGCTGGCTATTGCAAGTTTGGAAATTAACATCTTCTTCTTCATTGTATTTACATACTGAAAGCAACATTAGTGGAAGGGCATACTCACTTAATCCTTGCAAAACCTGTCACCATGACACCATTAAGGAATTTTATGTTGACCGCTCCTTACCTCTTTTTTTTTTTTTTTTTCTGAATGCAAGTAATATATGATAGTAGTTTAGTTTTTTATTTATTTAATTGAAGTTGTGAAATCAAGAACAATTCTTTAGAATGTGAAGTGCATTACAGTTATGTAAATAACTTGCAATCCTGTAAAAATGAAAAACATTATATTTCTATTAGAATAGAACTAACCCCTGTTGTGTTGATAGGCCCATGGCAATTTTGCTGGCTTTCCTGTTCAATAGCATTTGATTTTTTATTAGTACTAGTTATGTGTCTAAATTATGAACTCTTAGCAGTGCTTGGATAATTGGTGTTCTCCATGGTTTTATTGGATATTATGCAGACCTCTATGCTGGGTGGAGCACATGTCATTGGATAATGAAACTGGATTAGATCCTTGTGGAATAAGGGTGAGGCCTGTCTCTGGACTAGTGGCTGCAGATTACTTTGCTCCTGGTTATTTTGTGTGGGCAGTTCTGATTGCTAACTTGGCACGTATTGGATATGAGGAGAAAACCATGTATATGGCTGCCTATGATTGGAGACTCTCATTTCAAAACACTGAGGTAAACTTTCCAGAACTTGAATTTCTTTATCTTAGTATATGTCCTTCTGATTTTGTTTGAAACATTTAAGATGTCGACATCTTTCAATTAATCAGGTACGTGACCAAACACTGAGCCGTATTAAGAGTAATATAGAACTGATGGTTGCTACAAATGGAGGGAAAAAGGCTGTTGTCGTTCCACATTCCATGGGTGTTCTGTATTTTCTGCATTTCATGAAGTGGGTCGAGGCACCAGCTCCAATGGGTGGTGGGGGTGGACCAGATTGGTGTTCTAAGCATATTAAAGCTGTGGTCAACATTGGTGGGCCATTTTTGGGTGTTCCAAAAGCTATTGCTGGGCTTTTCTCTGCTGAAGCAAGGGATATTGCAGTTGCCAGGTACCTAACAAGCATACCTTCTTAGAAGCAACTAATTGTAGGCTGTAGCAATTGGACAGGTATCTTTGATGGTTTGTCCAGGATCTCATTATATCCTTTCAGAGTAATAACTTTGGAGTTTGGACAGTGTGGAGAAAATGTTAAAAGTTTCATCAAGTACAATTTGGTTCCTTTAAATAGGTCGTGACAACACATATGGACCAGCATCCTTTAAACCACATTCTAAGTTACCTTAGAAATTTGGTTAGCTGTTAAGTTTTAAATATGCCAAAAAGCAACCATAGATCTCATTTATTTATCACAGAATGTTGTATGGCAGGTTATGTGAAAAGAATATCTGCCTACAACAGTACATAGTACAAACTTCTGTTTCTGTCCTCCACCCTTTGGATGGAATTTCTAGTGATCTATTTCTAGTTTGCTTCCATATTAGGAAGAAGTTTTCATTTTTCCTGGTCAAAGAATTTCCTATAATTTGGCTGAAATTCTTGAGCTAGGAAATTGGTCAATATGCAAGTTACTTATTAGTTGATAATCTCAATTATATCAGAAGTACACAAATGTAAATTTATCTTTCTTACAATACTACTAAAATTGAACCTAAAATGCAGGGCTATTGCACCTGGTTTTTTGGATAATGATATATTTCATCTTCAAACATTGCAACATGTGATGAGGATGAGCCGCACTTGGGATTCAACTATGTCTATGATACCAAAAGGTGGGGACACAATATGGGGTGGTCTAGACTGGTCACCAGAAGAAGGCTATTCTTGTAGCAAAAAAGGAGAAAGGAAGAATGACACTCTGATCGCAGACCCTGGTACTGAAAGTGCAGTTTCTCAAGCAAGTAGTGCGAATTATGGTAGGATTATATCCTTTGGAAAAGATGTTGCTGAGGCATCTTCATCTGACGTTGAGAGAATAGACTTCAGGGTAATATATTTTCTCTTGTAATTTAGGAGGTTCCCCTGTTAGCTTCTTGCCCAGAAAAAGAACTTAACAAAAAAAGAAGCAAAAAAGAAGAGAGTTAGGCCATAGATTATATTTGGGTCAGGAAAGTTCTAGTGATGGATAATTTTTGGAGAATAAGCACTAGTTTCCCTGAATTATAGTAACTATGGCACAAGCTTCTAGTTTAAGTGATAGATACTGATGGTGGATGGTTAACCTAAAGATCAATTATTGCTTGATATGACTTGCATACTTATAAAGGAATCAACTAAAATATAGCTTTGAAATCAGATAGAAATGTTGAAATACTAACTTATATAAATAATTCTTTGAAATCTAAGTGTACTCAGAGTTCTCGCTCATAATTCTGCTTTCTATGGCAAAGAGTACAAATGGGCACCATGTGCTGCTGTATGACTGCTTTGTTTTAGTAAAAGTCATTACCTTACTTTTTTAGCTTTGCAATGTTCAGGGTGCTGTTAAGGGAAATAGTGCTGCAAACACAACTTGTAGAGATGTTTGGACAGAGTACCATGACATGGGATTTGCAGGTATCAAAGCTGTTGCAGAGTATAAAACTTACACTGCCGAATCAATTGTTGACCTGCTTCACTTTGTTGCTCCAAAAATGATGGCACGTGGTACTGCTCATTTCTCCTATGGAATTGCTGACAATTTGGATGACCCTAAGTATAAACACTTCAAGTATTGGTCAAACCCCTTGGAAACAACGTGAGTATCCTATAACTTCATTATTTCATTTGTTCTTGTTGTATGGTATTTAATATTCTTTTTCCCTTTGAGTCAATTTTTGTTGCTTTATACTCCTTTTGCTTGTTTATCTTTAAACTGAACCTGTGGCGAATAAGCTGATAGATATCTTAAAGCATTGCAGCAGGTTGTCTCATTCAACATTATTGATTGTTTTCCTGCACTCTCTTAATTTTCCTTTCATTTTGGTTGGGGTATATGGCTGTGATATGATGCACCTTTGTGCTGGTTGTGTTTTTTGTTCTTCAGTTAATTGATTAAGTTAGTGCCTATTGCAATATGTAGGTAGATAATCTTTTGGTTTGTCGATGTTCGTTCATTATCACTATTCACTGTCATTTATTTTGTAGGTTGCCGAATGCACCTGAGATGGAAATCTTTTCTTTATATGGAGTTGGCCTACCAACTGAAAGAGCATATGTGTACAAGTTATCTCATGCTGCTGAGTGTTATATTCCTTTTCAGATTGATACATCCGCTGATGATGAAGATACCTGCCTGAAGGATGGCGTGTATTCCATGGATGGAGATGAGACTGTACCAGTTCTAAGTGCGGGTTTTATGTGTGCTAAAGGCTGGCGTGGTAAAACCAGATTTAATCCTTCTGGAATTCGAACATATATTAGGGAATACAGTCATTCTCCTCCGGCCAACCTATTGGAGGGGCGTGGCACTCTTAGTGGTGCCCATGTTGATATAATGGGAAATTTTGCATTAATTGAGGATGTTGTTAGGGTTGCAGCTGGGGCTTCTGGAGAAGAATTGGGAGGGGATCAAGTTTTTTCTAATATCTTTAACTGGTCCAAGAAGATCAACTTGCAATTATAACCTGCACTGGTACATACTCTACCCTGCCTTTTTTATCCTGCTTCTGTCATTGTTCCAAGTTTCAACTGGTCTGGAGTGTCTGGTCCATAATTTTACCTAGGCATCTATCTTTCCTTTCCTACATCTTTCCATTTACATTTAGAACCATAATTTTCTGTGTCTGGTATGTTGTTCTTACCAGTTGAACCATTACAACATTCTTTCTGAGCCCTAAACCGACGCAAATCCTCCTTTATGTATATTCATATTCTATGGCGCTAATAGATCTGGCTAATTTAATAAGGTCTCCTGATTGTCATTTGAAAAACAAATTTCCATGTTGATTACTTGCATTGCCAGGCCATCATATATTTCTACTCTCTGTACGAGGAGCTGGCTGAAAGCTTTTAACTAGTTTTCTGTTTCTTGGCCATTTGCTGGAAAATGTTACTCCAGTATATTTGTCCACGTGATGCGGTGAAATGGCTGCCTTTTACTTGTGTGTTTCCTGGCCAAATGACCATATAATGATTATCATTTTCCTTGTATGCATTTGAGAAGCGATTGGTTAGTAATCTTTAAGCCTGGTAACTGGTTTGTAGATATCATTGCCTGGCAAATACTACAGCTATTCGTTTGCCTCACATCATTTAAACTGTTAATACAATTTTAACAAATTGTGTTATCGATTATTTACTAAATTTTGTGGGGCTTGTAAAATACCGTAATAGACTGGCAAAGAAATTTTTTATTATTTCTTTAATAATGAAACCTGTTATTAGGAGTTGAACTTTTCTGATGAATGATGATTGTATCTCCTATAGCTCATGGTGTACAAGTAGGTTCTCGGCTGTGAGTTTGCTATTGATTTCACAGCCATAAATGATAAGTTCTTATCAGGATTCAAGTTAGGCTCATCAAAACTCCCAGTCTCCAAGTGCCAGGATAACAAAATTCGCCATCACAGCGACTAATTTCTGATGTTGCAAGACTAGTAGTTGCATGGAATATGGAAATATCAATTTCTCCAAGGTGTTCCCCCCCTATCTTCAGTCTGAATTCTTCATAAGGAAAGCATCTAATTCTTTCCCTTTGTACAAGTAATTGAACCTTGCAGATATATCAGGATTGAGGAATGAGGGCAATCATGGAGTTGAGAACTCTCTGAACTCATTGCAACATGCTATCTTCATATTCCAACATAAATAATCATCGTTGTTACAAGTTACAAACTCCCTCTGCTTGCTTTTCTGAACTTAGTTAACCATGAAATCTTTTGACCCCCCTAATAGAATAATAAAAAAAAAATAGAGGAATGATATTAGTAAACTGACGCATATTTGTGGGAAGGATGGAATTTCAGCCACATTATCACTTGACACAAATATAGTGGAGTTCTTAAACTTCACTTTCAGGTTAATAAGAACTAAAAATTAGAAAATATTAAAAAATAAATATATTTCGCTTATCAAATTAAAAAAAAATATATTATTGTTAATAAATAAAAAATAAATTATTATAATAATAAAGTTATATTTGACACATAAAATTAGTTGAAAAATAAGATATTAAACATTTTATCACATGTTTGTTATGCATTTAAATAAAATTATTGGATTATTGAAAGGATTAGATATCTTATGCTAATAGGACAATTCTTTCTTTTGAAAAAGTAAAGATTATTTTTAATCAATTAGATTAAAGTTACATGTTCTATTATACTTTTAAAAATTATATTAATAATTAAAATTATATCAACTTTAAAGAAAGATAATTTTGATCAATAAATAAATTATTTTATTTTAATCATTACACACATCAAATATAAGATATTATTTAATCTAATTACATTTGTGATATTATTTTATCATATTCTATTATAATCTTGTGTACCAAACATGATCTTAGATTATTAAATAAATTTTACCAATGAAAATAATTTTATTGTCATATAGTAATTTTAGATATGTTTGGTGCATAGGATGATAAATCAAATAAAATAATAATCATTTTATACTATATTTAATATGTATTTAAAGAAAGAGATAAAATTAAAAGAAAGTTTATCATCTTTTTTGTATAGGATGATTAAATCTTCTTAAAATAGAGAATATTATTTTTAATCAATGAGATTGAATTTAAATATCTTATTATATTTTTAAAAATTATATCAATAATTTAAATTATATAAATTAAAAAAAATAATTTTGATCAATAAATAAATTATTCTATTGTATACTAATTTTTAAACACTTTAAACATAAAATAAAATGATATTATTTTATTTAATCTTATTTATAATATTATCTTAACTTATTAGCAAACGCATACTTAATTAACTGGATTGTTATATTTATTTATAGTTGGCAGTGGCACAATTTTTATTTTCCAATTGATAAAAAAATCAATATTATAGGAGGATAATTGATAAATAAAGAAAAAAAGAAGACAGAGACAATAGCCAATAGGAGTATAGGACTTACGTTATTAACCTACACCCGGGTTTAGTGAATCTTGACCTCTGTCCCATCATTAAATCTTTCCATTCACAATTTTCTTTTCCTTTTTTTTTTCACTCTTCAAAATCAAAAGAATTTTCTCTCTCTCCATCACAATCGAGAGCTTTCTTTTTCCGTCCGTCTCCCTTTCCCACTCCCATGGCTTGTATTTCCAGCTTCGATCTCTCCCCTCCCCTTTTTTGGACCCCTTTATTTTAGACCCTCGTTAACCTTAACTCACTGAGTCCACATCCTCTCTCTCATAACTCCGAAAATTATCGCTTTTGTCTCGAAATTATCGATTAATTTAGCTTGTTAAGGTGAGCATTGTTCCTATCGCTTTTTCAATACTCTCTAATTTCATTACTGTTTTTCTATTTCTTGTTAAAAAGTTTGAATGCCAATGCGTTTAGCAGTTCTAATTTTAGGGATACTTGGCTGCTAGTGCTATTATAAACTTCAATTTAAGGGTTTTAGATATGAAAAGTTTGTTTTCCAGTAATTTTTTATATGTTAATTATACATTATTTTAACTCTGTAATTGATTGCGTTGCTTTTATTTCTTAATTAAAACAATTTCATAGACTTAGGCTTAGACGTTACATTTTCGGTTTTCCCTTTGGTTGTTTGATTTTGAGGCTGTTCTTTGCTAATTCAATGAATAAAGTCTCGTTTTCTCTTCGATGCAAGTTTATTTATCACAACACTTACGACGTTTTTGGTGGGTGGTACAAAAAAGGTAGCTGTTAAACCTGACAATTTGTGTATTTGTGCCTTGGAAAATATTGAAATTCGTGTATTTGAACTGTATTTTACACAAAATTACATGTCATAAGTGTCGATATGAAAACATAAAATACATTTTTTGTTTGTTAAATCCATATATAATTACTACTAATATTTTAAACCATATCACTTTCGAATCTTTTTTTCGTATTGTGTTCTTGTCGTGTTTCAGATTGTTAAATCTATAAAAAATGACTAGTTTTTGTCTATAAGTACTAAGTCTTGATTGGGCTTATTTTTCTAATAACTTATTATTTGTATATATTGAAGCTGGTATAGCTATATCAGTCGTAATAATTCCTTTAGACATAAAATCCCAAATATTACCTTTGGTTAAGTTCAACTGGCTGTTATGCATGTAGGTTTTTAGGAAGCTATATTTTTAGTATATTTGCTAACTAAATGCAATTTGACAACTTCTAACTAAAGATTGGCAACTAGTTTCTCCATCCAGGGTGTATGTCGCCTAGTTTTGATATCTTAATCATAAGTTGATTAGGGAAAATGCATCCATCTGTCAGGCCAAAGATTTAAAAAATTTTTAATTGCAAAAGTTTTGGGCACTTTGGCAATCGTTTCAAACATTAGTCCAACTATTGTTAAGAAGTGTGGTCTGATATCCTTCACAAGTTGATTAAACCTTGCTGTTTTTATGAAGTTTTTCTTGCTTCATTTAGTGCTTTATTCTCAGCCTATATAGTTGTATACTTCTACCATTACTTGCTTCATGCAGTTTGTTTTGCATTACACTGATCTTGCTTTCTCTTGATTACTGTCTTTGCCATATTAATTTCCTCCTAGCAAGCTAAAACCTCTTTTAGTCTAGAAAATGAGGAATTTGTGCTTTAGCAACTTTCTCCTTCTTGATATGGGAAGATGGGTGGCTCCAGCAATTGAGGTTAACTTGCAGGGTGAGATATTGTATATGTATTGCTGGTAACATCTGTAAGAAGATAAGGATCCCGGGACCTCTTATCTAGTTTGTATAAATGATGAAATTTCTACATGTATAACAAGCAGAATTTGTGAAGATGGTCCGTTCAATTGCTGTTAATTCCCAGAGGTTTAAGTTACATTTCTTGGTGGAAAGTCAATGGTATTGAAAGAGAGCCAAGAGATTTTAGCATTGGTGTGTGGCTGCCCGGGAAAGGCACCTTTCTTTTGCATTTTGGTAATGCACTCTCTCTTAGGCATGAGTTTCATGAATAGTGACAAGATAGAGGATATGCTCTTTTATTGGTGTAATTTTGGATTTGAAGAAATTCATGAGAATTTTATTTATGAATTCTTAAGAAACTTTGTAGAGTACAAGTGTGTATATATATATATATATATATATATATATATATAAACACACACACACAGTTATATAGCTAAAACATCAAATTTGGCAAATCTCAAGATATCCTAAAGATAATAACAAATCACCTAAAAATCCTCTAACAATAACTGAAAACTACCAAGTACGAATTTGATTAATGAACCAAATCGCTTTTATTAAGGAAATATCCAAAATACTAAATGAATGACACCTAATCAAATCTAGTTAGGAATCGGTTTTTCACATTCCCCCCTTAAGTTGGGTGGTAGATATCAATCATACCCAACTTGGACTCCAAATTCTCGAAATTGCCATGATGAAGACCCTTGGTGAGGATTTCGGTTGTCTGATGTTTTGTTGGAGTGTAGACCTATTTGACTGCACCATTTTCAATCTTCTTTTTGATGAAGTGGCGATCAATCTCTGCATGTTTCATTCGATCATGATGAACTGGGTTCTTGGCAATGTTAATAGCTGCTTTATTATCACAAAACAGTTTCATTAAATTCCCAACTGACTTGTTGAATTCTTGTAGCATTCTCTCAAGCCAAATTCCTTCACAAATCTTGTGAGACATAGTCCTAAATTCAGCTTCAGCACTGTTTTGAACTACCATTGCTTGTTTCTTGCTCCTCCAGATGACCAAGTTACCCCATGCATATGTACAATACCCTGTAGTTGACCTTCGGTCTGTCACAAAACCAACCCAATCTGCATATGAGAAAATCTCCACATCTTTATTTAGTGTTTTTCTGAAGTGCAACCTTTTGTCTGGATTTTCTTTCAAGTATTGAAAGATCCGATGTACTGCCTTCATGTGTGTCTTTGTAGGGTTGTTCATAAATCTGCTCATCATACTTACAGAGAAGCCAATGTCAGGTCTAGTGTGCGTCAAATAAATTAATTTTTTCATAAGTCTTTGGTGTCTGTTTTGGTCTGCAAGAGGACTTTTATCTTCAGTTCCTATCTTGACATTTGGGTCCATCGGAGTATCCATTAGTTTACACCCAAGCATCCCTGTCTCTTTGAGAAGATTAAGTACATATTTTCATTGTGAAACAAAAATACCATTTCTTGATTGAGCTACTTTCATGCTCAGAAAATATTGAAGCTGTTCAAAGTCTTTTATTTCAAACTCTTTAGCTAAAAGAGTCTTTAATCCAACTATTTCCTCTTCACAATCTCCTATGAGGACAATATCGTCAACATAAACAGTCATAATAGCAATCTTGCTATTTGGTGGATGTTTGGCAAACATAGTGTGGTCGAATTGGCATTGTAATAATCCATTCTTTTTAATAGCCTTAGTCAAATGATCAAACCTGGCGCGAGGAGATTGTTTGAGGCCATATAAGGATTTCGGAAGCTTACACGCCTTGCTGATGTTGTCCTAGTTGTCAAACCTTGAGGAATCTTCATGTTGACCTCTTCCATTAGATCACCATTCAGAAATGCATTTTTGATATTGAGTTGGTGAAGAGGCTAATCTAGGTTTGCAGTAAGTGATAGTAACACATGGACAGAATTCAGTTTTGTACAGGAGAAAATGTCTCCTCATAATCAATCTTATAAGATTGAGTGAACCCCTTAGCCACAAGACGAGCTTTGAATCTGTTCACACTTCCGTCTGTATTGTGTTTGATAGTAAAAATTCACTTACATCCCACTGGACTCTTTCCTCTAAGAAGATCAATAATTTTTCATGTGCCATTCTTTTTTAGTGCTTGCATTTCTTCCATTACCACGGCCTTCCACTTTGGTTGTTCGAGTGCTTATTGGATGGTATTTGGTATATGAACATCATATAATGATGTAACCAGTGCGCGGTAAGTAGGAAACAACCCTTCATAGGAAACAAAGTTACTAATAGGGTGCTGAGTACATGATCTCACACCTTTTCTTATAGCAATAGGTTGATCAAGATCACTAGGAAAATCATTAGAGATAAGTTCAATAATTGTGTTACCCTAATGAATTTCAAAAGTTTTTGGATTTGGTTCAGAATCTTGGTTCTATGTTGGAGATGTATAGGTTCCTATCTCCTTTTGAGATTTCGGTCTCCTTGAGTATACAATCATTTCCTTATCTTTTGTCTCTTGCACGGTTTTAGGAGATTTTGGAGACTCAAGATGACTAGTTGACTTGGAAGAAAAAGGAGAATTATTTGAAATGGGAATTTGAATTGGTAGACAAGTAAAGAAAGGATCAGATGATGGCTCAGTCTCCCAAAGTTGATATTCCCTAGAACTCTCCCCTTGAATATTGGCTTTGGGATAGAATGGTTGATTGTCAAAGAAGGTGACATCCATAGAAGTGTAAAACTTTTTGGTCGTTGGTGAATAACATCTGTAGCCTTTTTGGTTAGGTAAATAGCAAAGAAATATACACCTGAGTGATTTGGGGTCTAGTTTAATGCATTGTTGTTGGTGTATATGAACAAAGGTAGTACATTCGAACACTTTGACTGGTACGGAGGGAATGATTTGGACATGAGGGTAGGTTTTGAAGAATGTTTGACAAGGGGTTTGGAATTTTGGTACTCGAGAAGGCATCTTGTTTATAAGAAAGGCTGTTGTCGGGATTGCCTCTCCCCATAAATGTTTCGGGACATAAGAGGCTAGCATAATAGATCTGGCAAGTTCCATCAGGTGTCTATTCTTCCACTTGGCAACTTTGTTTTGTTGAGGAGTTTCAGTACATGAGCTTTGATGAATAGTTCTTTGATCTAACAAGTAAGATCCAAGAACTAAGTGATAGCATTCTTGCCCATTATCTATTCTAAGCACTCGAATTTTTGCTTGAAATTGAGTTTGCACCATCTTGTTGAAATTTTGAAATATTCAACTAAGCTCTAACTTGTCTTTCATCGGGAACAACCATGTAACTCTAGTGTGATCATCATTGAAGGTAACAAACCATCTAGAGCCTGTAATATTGTTAACCCTCGATGAGCCCCAAAACATCACTATGGATCATAGAAAAAGGATGAGTTGATTTGTATGGTTGACTTGGATATGAATTACGAGTGTGTTTGGAAAACTAACAAATTTCACATTGATAAGACTCGAAATCTTTATTGAATAAATTAGGGAACAATTTTTTTAGGTACAAGAAATTTGGATATCATAAACGATAGTACCATAGCATGATTGTATTTTCTTTACTCTTACTAGAAAATGAAACCGAACAAGTACTCTTCCATGATTGTCTCTTAGATTCTCCATCTCTAATGAGATAGAGTCCAACACACATCCTAGCGTTGCCAATCCTTTTCCCTTTATCCAAAACCTAAAATTCACACATGTTAAAAAGAAATTTAGTAACACAATTAAGATCTCTTGTAATTTTACTAATAGATAGAAGGTTGCAATCTAAATTAGGGACATGAAGAATAGAGTCAAGTGTTATGTCCTTTGAAATAATGATTGAACCTGTCTCGGCTACCCGGGAGAGTGAAGCATCTGCTATTCGAACTGTGAGGTTTTCCTAACATGGGCTGTATTCATGAAACACCGATGCATCACCAGTCATGTGGTTTGATGCACCTAAATCAACAATCCAAGATCTTGATTTTCCTAAATCAACAATCCAAGATCTTGATTTTTCACTTTGCACAAGTAGAAAATTAAGAGAGTTAACCTTTTTTTTTGCAACAGACGCTGTCCTTACAATTGACCCAGTGTTCTGAAGAGATTGCTGAACAATTTTCTAAAGGAGTTCCAACTGCTCTCTACTAAATGGGCTTGATTCCAGGGGTGTTGGAGTTGTCTCGGTGGTGGCAGAATTTTCATGATTCTTTCGATTTCAAGTAGAATGTGGTTTGTAGTCAGTAGGTTTCCCATGGATTTGCCAATAATTTTCCTGTGTGTGTCCAGCCTTCTGACAGTGGTCACACCAAGGTCTGTTACCTTTCTTCTGTCGATTTTCACTACCTTGGTAGGATTTTGGTCCTTGTACAGCAGGGACTAAATTTTCTGTCTCTTGTGGATTGCATGATGTCCCTGGCATCACTTTCCTTCTACTCTCTTCTTGGCAGACTTCAGAGAAAACTTTTCGGATGCTGGGTAATGGCTTGATGCTAAGAATTCTCCTACGAATCATCAAGGCTCTTGTTTAGACCAAGTAGAAACTTATAAACTCAGTCCTTCCCTATTTTCCTATATTGTTGGCTATCGTCAAGACACTTCATGCTATTTCTTTAAAGATATCTAATTGCTGCCAATAACGAGTTAAGGAATTAAAATATTTCGTAATAGAGGAGTCTCCTTGCCACAGGTCATGTAAAGTGCATTTCGAATGTTGTAGACATATTGTCTACGCTGGAGTAGGTTTCTTTTACAGCTGCCCAAATCTCCTTGGCAGTTTTGTAGTACATGAAATTCTCACCAAGTGAAGGATTTTTCGCGATAGATTGTTAAATAGTTGTTGCATGTCAGGTACAAAGCACTATAAAAGATAGTTGTTCAATCCAACATGTTTCTTTGTGCTTATGGTTACTCCTTTGTGTGATTCTTTCCCTTTATAACTCTGTCCTTTTTTTGATTTGTGGGATGAGGTGCCATGTTCTCAAGCAGCCATTGATGCAGATTTGAACCAGTCTGGATTTAACGATCAAGCCAGACAGCTGGCATCTTAACTTCCTTCTAGAAGTTTCTGTCTCTGACAGTGAAAGCAGGTCTTTTATCTTTTTCCTTTGGACATGCCAACGTGATGTATGTTTGCTGATGTATATTTTGATTATTTGTTTGTCTGAGCGTATGGCAATATTAGAACTAATTACTATAGGAATTTGTTCCCTGGACATAATATAGGTATAACTCTTTTTTGCCTAATTTTAACACTTGTAACATAAGATCCAAGATAATTCGCATGGTGAACATGGAGGAAGCAGTGATGCTAAAGAGTTTGCTGAAAAGCTGTCTGTAAGTTGAACTTACATAGATAAGCAAATCTTGTATAGTGATAATGGAGCTCCTTGTTTAGTTGCTTCAACTTCCATAACTGATTCATATCTCCATTGGAGCTCCTTGTTCTAGTGCTTCAAGTTCTAGCCTATTTACTTCTGGCATGCATGTTTTCTGTTTGAATTCCTGTTCATACGAATGCAGCCATCTGAGGACCTGCAATTTTCAAATTCTGTTGGTGAGTATGCTTTACTGCCTTGGTGCCTGCTTGGTGGCCTATAAAATTGAAACTACAGTTTTCTTTTTTGTTATTTTGTACCTTATCAACTGCACTTAGTTCTTGCCACTGTAGCTAGTTGTTTTAATCCACAGCAATTTGAAATGCAGATTCTCAGTCATTATTGAATGACATGATTGATGCGTCTAAAAAGGCTGGACCATCTACAAATGCTACTACTCATGCTCAATCTAATTCTTTGTCAAAGGTTAGTGAAAAACCAAGTTCTTCTGGTGAACTCTCAAATGGTCCAGCTTCTAGCAAAGTAACTGGTGAAACACAATCTGTAAACTCCCATGGATGACCAGTTAGTTCTATGTCATCAAATTCAGATTGTATTGGTGCTGTCTCAGCATCTAGTGGCCCTGGTTTATCACCAAGTTCATCAGTGGGTTCATTATCTTCTGAGAAGTTGACACTGAATCCCTACGCGAAGGTGTGTTATTTTTCTTTCGTCTTTTTTCCCTTTCAGATGCATGATAAGCTGACTCTGACACATACAGAGTTATAAACTGATGAACAGTCTTATGTTTTTGTGTACCTTTTGACTTGATTTGTTGCTTTCCTTTAGTTGTCTTTTCACGCATCTAACATGCTTAATGCTATCAGGATTCTAACTTAACCCCAATGCAAAGAGTTTCACACCAATCTCAAATGCCTGTTCAGCCTCCATCCCCACTTTCTGATGGTTCCTTCTCCCGTCCAACACAAATATCTCCTGTACCACATATGCAAATGCCTGTTAGTTTTGGTGTCAGTTACTTAAAATTAATTGCATTTTTTATGGACACTGATTTTGCAAGAAGTGCAATTGACTGGCAATTATTGTATCACCTAGGGCATTTTCTTTTCTTCTGAATTCATGAATCTAAAAGCTCCCGATATAGCTGCTTACTGAAATTAATAAAGCTTGTTCCCTAATATTTTGTATTGGTTACTTATATTATGCATCTATTGTTATTATATTTGTGTGGGTTGATGGTTTAGGTGGCGTTAAGTTAGGTTGTTACCCTTGTTGGACCTACCTTTATCTCTGGTCAGGTACAGGTGCAACCTTTTTTTTCCAGGTCAATAGGATATCAACTAAAACCTGTAACTTTTGTTTTACTTGTATAATCTTGTATTCAGTAATCTTTTTACTGGATGCAACTTAATTCAGAATCAGATATTTCAATAAATGATATAGTAAACTTTGGTACATGGTCTTAGCTATTAAGATTAACTTTTATTCTTACACCTGGTGCTTAATTTCATTGTAATTTTATTCTTTTTTCTTTTCAATCGAAAATGTATTGTCGATAGTCTGCCTGTTGACTGTTGTTGATGATCACATGGATTTTGTAGATTGGACCCTCCTTTCTTGGACACCAGCCTGTTATTTTCAACCCACAGGTGGCACCAGTACAATTGCCACAAGCTTACTTTCATCCAAATGGACCTAAGGTGCAACCTTACCATTAATTTACCATTATCTTGATTGATTCATCTTACTTATTATTATTTATTCTTCAAAATTGCTGTATGGACAGCATATGCTTCTTGTGCTGTGGCAAGTGTACTACGAACCTGTTAGTGGTTCTGAAAATTCTCTTAGTGTCGACTTGTTGGTTCATATATCTTTAGCTTGATGATTATGACACTCCTTAAGTTAGCATACCAGGAATACATTGCTATCTATTACTTGTATGGTTGAAAATGTTGCTTCCTGGGGAATTCTATTAAGAACTTTCATAAAATTTAAACATAGTGCAAGATTTCATCTCTTCCCTTAGAAGGGCAAAATACCATGATTAACATTTTAGATCAGTTTCATCTATTTTTTTCTTTTAAATGAAAGCCTCTGTTTTGGAGGTGTTTCATTTGTTATCCAGAACATTCCACATTTTGGGATCCTGACAGAATTGAAACTTTCTTTTGCAGGAAAGGCAATAATATAAATGACGGGATTATTAACCTGTTAGTTTTCTGACAGCATTCTTGGGAGCTCTGCTCTGTTTTGCTAGCAAAGAATAAACTTTTGAAAGACTGCTTGGGTCAATTTTCTCGAAACAAAGCATAGTTGTCCAAGAAAGATTCTATATAGTCTTCATCACCCTATGTTCCAGGAGACGTGTACTCATCATGGGAGATAAGTCTCATTCACATCGTCACTTAGGATTTCTAACTTTTGTTGACTAACCTGTGCTTTTCTAATTGGTTGTTTTAATATTGATGATAGATTTGGATCAATCTGTGGTGCAAATATTCTATATTATTTTCCTCTTAATTTTTATTTTAGTGGTTACTGTCGCCTGGGATCTACCAATGTATTCCATTGTTGGGTTAAGAAAGTGGAAGAGATTGATGCTAATGAATACTGTTCGTTATGGCAATATGCCAAATTCATGATGTGAACTTTGATTAAATGTGCAATGTAGCATCGGATCTTTCAATTTCACCATCAATTTTGGATGTTTTAAGGCCTTTTGTGGCACTGCTATCAATGGTACAGGGAGAGGGGGGATTGTGGCCCTAATGTCCTGGTGGAGAGAAGGGGATTGGGGAGAAAATGGAAAGGAAAAGGAGTTGAATGTCGAAAATGTAACGGGGAAGATGGAGAAGAGAAAAATCGTCTAGAAAGGAAGAGAATAAAAGGAAAAGGAAAAAGGAGGAAAGGAAGAAAAAGTTATTGGGCATATTATAAATCTTTTCAGATTATTTTGTTCGGAGTATCAAATATTCTGTAAGATTAATTTGGCTTGACAAAAAGTTTTCGAAAAAATAAGTTTGGTATCAATAATATTGGTTTACAAAACATTGTCATCCAAGAAGTAAAACCTCCCCCGAGTTTATAGACATGCATACTATTTCAATGCCCGTATTAAAACCTTATTATTCGATTTTAATAGAAGGTGTCCTGTCTGTGCTAATAGCCAATTATTGATTAGTAGGTCCACCCACTGGTCTTGTGGGTAAGAGTATATATACATATATATAGCCAATCTATACATATCAAAGATTGTAAATGCTTGTGAAATTGCTCATGTCATAATGGATTGGTGGTTGACTTGTTAATGAAATCCAGGACAGATAATAACAAGAAATATTAAACCATTGCCTACAAATTTGGAGATAACATTAAATATAAGGAACATAAGACTTTAGAATGAATGTAGAATTGACCTCAATAGAATGTACGTATGCATGTATATATAAATATTTTTTTATATATATAAATAAACCATGGTTAGGCTCAAGTCCCAAAGATCAAAGGATCCCAAGATTCCCAAACCTATGAATTATCACCAACCCTTTGTTTTATACATAAAGAGCATTACCTACTGACTTCCAACTAGAAACCCTTCTACAATACATATATGTTAGATTACTTTAAGAATACACTGAAATAAAATGTATATTCTTAGTTGTCCAAACAATGTAGGGCCACATGACTTTTCTTATACTATATCTATTCATTTAGTCTTTGGAATATAAATTATCTTATCCGCTTTTATGACCTATATGTTCACCATTCTTGTACATTCATGTGCTTTTATGCAAAAATGCTAGGCTAGAAATGAACGGTGTTTAATTCAAGAGAACCAAGAAAAGTAAATGAAAAATTTTTTTAGCCACTATATATATTTTATTTTGTTTTAATTTTGCATATATTTTTAAACTTTCTTACCCCTAGGCCAAAAAATCTATATATGTTTTATATTTAACAAGAGATTAATTCGATTCATAATTTTTTTTTTCATAATTTTGAATGCACGATTTTTATAGAATATGTTTGATTTTAATTTTAACAATTGAACAACTTATTTAGGTCAAAATTTACCAACTCAATTAAAAATTTAAATATACATTAAATATCAAAACCAAAAAAAAAAAAAAAACCATCTTTTATTGTTTTTTGTTAAAGTTGTTCTAAATAGAATCCCATGGGGTTGGTGCTTGAAATTAAAAATCAAAGTGAAGGACATCCCAATCCTCAAAAGCACCATTTTTATATTAGGCCACCTAATGTTAGGGTAAAGTTTGGATAAAGAATGTATCATATTCAATGACTAATAAATAAATTTTGTTTTTTTTTACCCATTTAATTTTGCAATTAAAGTTATAATAATAAAATAATAATCTTACCTTCTATAGTAGGTTGAAGTTTGGATAAAGAATGTACCATATTCAATGACTAATAAATAAATTTTGTTATTTTTCCCATTTAATTTTGCAATTAAAGTTATAATAATAATAACCTTACCTTCCATAGTAGGTTGAAGTTTGGATAAAGAATGTACCATACTCAATGACTAATAAATAAATTTTATTTTTTTCCCATTTAATTTTGCAATTAAAGTTATAATAATAACATTACCTTCCATAGTAGGTGCAATAATTTTTTTAGTGCTAATACTTCATTTGAATAAAGAGTTGTATTATCATATGATTTTATAATTAAAATTTTAATTTTTATCGACCATTCAAATAAAACATAAAAACATACATATTTGACTAAAATTACTAATTAAAAGCTTGAATTTTTTCTGAAGAAGATTTTGAATCATTTCAAATTTTTGTATCTCTACTTTGATAAATATGGTGATAGAAATGCATATAAGAGTTTATGAATAGTGTTATAATTTTGTTCAAATTGTCAAGAATTGACGTAAATGATTAAAGTTTAAAGTCTGACGTAAATTATTTAAATTCAAATATTCACGATTTTTTTTTTGTTAATAGACAATTTGTAAACTAAAAATTTTTCAAAAAATTTATAAATTTTTTTGTGGATTGACTACTTATACTAATCTTAAAAATAAAATAATCTCCCTTATTTCTAAATTTTTTTAAATTAAAAAAAAAACAGTCTTACTCAAATTCTTTCTATTCTTATATAAATGAGGCCTTCAATTTAATATCCCTATCCAAATTTCAATTTGCTTCTACATCCCAATAATAAAATCCTTCGAGGGAATTGGTAGTGTTTGGAAGGTTTGAGTGGCTGGTTTTGCTCTAAATTAGAAGATTTTTATCATAGAGTTGGCAGAAACTGGTGGCTTCCAAAGTGACACCCTGTTCCTTTTGTAAGCAAATTGCCAAATCAAAGGGGGCAAAAGCCACAGGCCCCAGTTTTCTTTTAGAAGCCTTTTTCTCATTTCTACTTTTTGTTTTTCTAAGCTTTGTTTTGTTGGTGATGATTGAAGATGAAAAGTATTGCATTGTTCATGCTTTGAAGCAAGCAAGTGCAAAGTCTCTTTCCATGGCATGCAAGCCAATTCTATCAATGACCCTTCTAATAATTTTAAAAAAATTTAATCTATTTTTTTATTTTTTACTGTATATATTTAACTTATACGAAGATATTTTTGCGTATAATCTGGAATTTATAATCTTAACGAGCATCATCATATATCATTTTTATATCATTTGTAAATTATACATCCAATTTTCCCACTAAATTGTCAAACATGAAACGCATTGAAGTTACAAAGTTTCTAAGCAAAAACATAATAAAAAAATCTATAATTGCAAATAATATATAAATTATGTTTTAACAACCAAAGATAAATAGTATTTACTAAATGTGTAAATGATATATTAATATTCGTAAGTTATAAGAGTTCAATTTAAATAAAATTTAAATTCGACTTAATTATTATTAAGTCGAATTTGAGTAATTTGATTTATTAATCAAGTTAAATTTGAACATTATTACATTTAACTCGAATAATTCACGAACTTAATTTTTTTATTTTTATATATTTTTATTATTTTAATTAATAAAATATCTCAAACTCAAATTCGAGTATAAATAATCGAGTTTTTATTGAATATAAAAAATAAACTTATTTTTACATATTAATCAAACTTAATCGAATGAATTTAAATAATTTAATTTTTATTTCTAGTTAAATTTAAATTTAAAAAATAAAATTTGATCGAATTTAAAAAATAAACTTATTTTTATACATTAATCAAACTTAATCGAACGAATTTGAATAATTTAATTTTTATTTCGAATCAAATTTAAATTTAAAAAATAAAATTCAATTAAATTTAAATTTAAATTAAACTCAAACTTAAATTTAATATTATATTAAAATATAGACCGTAGATAAGTCTCGTATTCTTTCATTTTGAATACTGTTCGTTGATGTTGCTCAGGATGGGACATTCATACAAAACAATAAAAATTTTGTGTATTTAAATTGGTGTAATTCTTGATTCAATATTCAAAAAATTTTTTAGAGATAAAAAAAATATATAGGTAATCCATTAAAAATATAAAAAAATTAAAGCGAATCTTGAAGAAATACTATCTTTCACATCTCCAAAATTTTTTTAAGTGATAAGTTACAAATTATTCTCGTTCTTTAACTTCCAAAAAATCTTATAAGAATGGATAAGAAAAACAATTTATATCTTTAATACTCCTTTCATCCCAAATTATTTAAGAAATATTAATTTTTATAAAATTTAAAAGAGTTTCAAAGTTAATTTATTTAAGATTAAAATTAAAATTTATTGATTTTTAATGTCAAAAAATAATAATATTTTATAAAAAAATAATTTTAAAATATAAAAATATTAAATATTAAAAAAAAAATTTTGAGACATCTAAAAAATAAGACAAAGACAATATAAAATTAAACTGAATTTATCTATAAAAAAATTAATTTATCAAGAAAAAAATTGGATAAAGAAAAAAAAAAGGGGAGTATAAGGAACGCGCGCTGTGACAGCGCGTGATGAAGTATAGGTGAAAATTGAAGGGCGCAGCTGAGGTAGTTGAAGAGAGAATACATAAAACTTTGCAAATAGAGAAAAAGACGTCTGCAGCAGTTCTGATGGAATAATTTATTGCAAAAAAAAAAAGTTTATTACTAATTAACAGAACACGACAAAATACCCAACAAAATTCTGTATTCATGTAAAAAAAATACAATAAAATAATAAAATCCCAAAATAAAAAAGACATTTTTTTTGCTGTAGTAGCCCAGTGATAATGGTGGTGGTGGAGAGGTAATGGTGGTGAGCTGAAAAGACGAGACTTTAAAAAATGAGTTTTTGAGAAGATATCTGTAACGATATTATCCAAACCCAAGTTCTCTTTTTTATTTTTTTTGGGTTTTGTAAAAATAAGCCAAAGCCAAAACAGAAAGGTGTGAGCTTTTAAGAAGCAGAGAGAGAGAGAGAGAGGCTTTATGTTTTGATGAGAAGAAGGAAAGGGAGAGACATGCACAAATCTAAGCTTAGAAGAACAATTCCACTTGTTATTTCTCTTTCAGTCTATCGAATCCGATAGGTATTTCTTATCTTCTTTCCCTTTGTTCTTGGCTTTTTGTTCTTCTGGTGTTCTTTTTCTCTTTTGTTTCATCTAGTACTTATTCTCCATATCTTTTTGAACAGATTACATGCTAAGTTTCCTTTTTTAAATAACATTTATTAGATTTAGTTTGCTGGGAAAGTTTTTGTTGTGTCTATAAGGTTATAGGCCTTGAATATGCTTGGATTTGAAGCCTGGGATGGTGGGTTGGAATTTGCATGTTTAGCTGATTGATGGGTTTTCTTTTTTGTTCTTGGTTCAACTTTCAGCTCTCTCTTTGGATTTTTTGTTGTAGATTTTGCATGCATGGAAAGACTTTTGAGTTTGAGATTAAATAGAATGTATTTGAGCAAGAATCCATTTAACTTTCTCTGCCCCTGTGTTTCCTTTTTCCCCTTACTAGAACATCCTTGTTCTAAAATCTCTTTCTTGGGGGTAAATGGGTTGATATTGTTTGATGTTCTTGTATCAAACAATTCGATGTTAATACAGGCACCTGCTATTTCTGTTTACTTATTTTCTGCTTTTCAATAGTCTCCCCATCCTTCTTCCACCACCCTCCTGCGTAACCGAGAAGAAATGCTTATGATTAGAAGTCGCTGCATTTTGATAAGTGAAAATGGAATGGTTTCTTTCATCATTTTTATCATAACTTTCATATATACTTTCCTTGCTGAGTGAGGCATTATCAGTTCAAAACAAAATTCGTTAGAAATTTGTAGTCTAATTAATCAATTTGATGGCATGAGTAAATGTAACTTCAGATGATGAACTCTGCGATTGGGTGTGTGGAGTTCATTCAATTTTCTCTTTGTTTATGTAATAATTCTTTACTTGGAAGTAAGTTTCTCTTCAATAATTTTTTGATGGCTCTGTGAATCTTTACGAGGCTCCTAGCGAGCCTTCTTTTTCCGCTACTTCATATTTGTATTTGGCAGTTTACCATGTTTGCTTTTAAGGTCAAGTTGCTTTCTACACTTGTTCCTTCTTATCCATTAAAGTCTACTAAGTCGGTTTAATAAATTTTGCAATACCCTCTGAAAGAAGACTTGCAATAATTTATTTCTCTTTTCTAATTTAAATATCTAACACTGTGACAATGTTTGGTTTGGTGCTAGGTCACTGACGTGTGAACACACTAAAAATAGCAGAAAAGATTTCCTCTTAGCATTTATAAATTTTTTTTGGGCTCCTCTCCTAAGTCAGGACATTTTGAACAGTAGTTTACCGCAATGCAAAACTGGCATGAAAAGGATTCTTCCATAAGTTCTCATTCGACTGGCACATATGTTGTTGGCTGCTCATCTTGGGGCAATTCAACTGAATCCCGTGTCCAGCAATCATCCATGTCTGAAAGTTTAAGCCTGAAGATGGGAGTTCTGCCTCAGCACTTTCATAACACCAAGCAGCTAGGCTTTCAATTTCAAGACCAGGACTCATCATCAACTCAATCAACTGGTCAATCTTACCCTGAAGTGGCTAGTGCTGGAGTCGGCAATCTTTATGGGCAAAGTTTAATTTCAGCATCATCAGGTCTTTATATTTGTCCTGTGTTCCTCATTTTGATGTATCCCTTAGTGTGGTTGTGTGATAGGATAAGGATTCAATGTGTGTGACTTTTTCCCTCCAATATATATATATATATGGTACAAATGAGTTTGTAGCCTGAGAATAAGGGAAGGAATTGCAGGTGTAGGGATTTTAATTCTGAACTTGCTAGATGCCACCTCTTAAAGGTGGCTGCATGAACCACCTTGTCTATGTTTTGGATTTTTTTCTTTGCAAATGTATAAGATTTTATTTGTTACCAGGAACATCTTATGCTTTTAATTGGTATGAATGTTCTAATGGGCTTATTTCTCTTATTCTGACTATGTTACTTAAACTAGGAGTTGTAAATCTATATGCTAAAGGGACTGTTAGGTTTCACCTTGCTACCTCGCTGTAGATATTAATATTCTGCTACACCTATGGCAGAGCTTCCCTTAACAATATAGTACTAGTTCTTGCATTAAATTAATGGGAGTTTTCCTTTCTCTTGTCAACTGACCAAGAGTATATCCAATTGACTTTTCTTGCACCTGCTCAGGAGGTAATGGAACTCATGGGAAGCTTGGTGGAGGTTATGCTAAATTAGCCTTCACAATGGGAACTCAGGACAATGCCTTCCCTTCTTCGCAAGTTGACTATAGCAAATCAATTGTAAGTTATTAGTTATGTGATTTGGCTGCTATGTAGATGCATCTTAGTCTTATATATAATATCCTTATATGTAATTTTTACTGCAGGCTCATGTTCCTCTCCATTTTGCTGAACCATATTTTGGCAGTGTGATGGGAGCCGCTTACCCACCTCAAGCTATGGTAAGAGTTTTGTTGTGTTTATCAGATTTCTTTGCAGCATCGGTGTCTGTTTGACGGAAGCCATTTCAGTCTGGCATATTATCAGTTCATAGAAAAAAGGATGGTTGCTTTTAAAACCTTTTTTTACACCATAAGTGATTTCTTTAGGAGTCAATTATACCTCTTGTTGTGATTATCCTATATGTAGTTTTCTCTTTGAGGAATCTCATAAAAAAAGTAGTTGAAGGAACCTAAACTTTTAAAACCAGATTAGAGGATCTAGTCCTTTCATTACCATAATTCCAACCTTGATGCTTTGGCAAATGAATTTGAAAGCAAAAGTCAGAGAATAAGTTTGAAAGCAAAAGTCAGAGGATAAGTTGTTGATTTTTTTATAAAATATAGATGCTTTAGATCATTATTTTAATCCATTAGCACCTTCATGGGGTCATGCATTCTTTATTTATGCAAAGAATGCACAAAAATGTTATGCTGGCCTTGTGGATTCTTTAATGTTCATTAAGCACATCCATAAACTATTCTGCTTCTTATTAATTTCTGTCATTCTAGTTCACTTTGCATCTTACTTTACGCTTATTCTTCTTTCCTTTTCTTATCAAATTGATTCTTTATGCGAGAGTAGCTTTTCTTTCATGCTCTTATTGTATGAAGTGGTTTTACTATATGAAGCATGAAGGATGCAATAGTGCTGCTGAAGCAAGATTTATTCTTGTCAACCGTCTTTAAGTAGCAAAAAAAAAAAACTGACTCAAGAGGTTACTAGATATCTTATTTTACTTATTTATTCCATGATTTCAGCCTCTTTGATATAGATTCTGCACTAAAGTGGTTCTTGATATAGGTTCCAATTTTTGTGTTGCTAAATCATATGCCCTAAAAACCTATTTAAGCCACACCCCTTGTTATGTATGACCAAACAAAAATGTTTTTTCTTTGTTATCCATTTGTGAGATATTTGTCATTACATTGTCAGCAGATTCATCATGCTCATATGATGGGTATCCTTCCTGCTCGTGTTCCACTGCCTCTGGATCTTACAGAAGATGAACCTGTTTATGTTAATGCAAAGCAGTATCATGCTATTCTCAGGCGAAGAGAGTATCGAGCGAAACTTGAGGCTCAGAACAAAGTCATCAAAATTCGAAAGGTATGTCTCTTCAAGCTTTTCCTCCGGGTTATTTGGCTTACAATGATATTATTATCTGAGAAGTTATTTTATAAATGTTTGCAGCCGTATCTGCATGAGTCTCGACATCTTCATGCTTTAAAAAGAGCTAGAGGAAATGGGGGGCGATTTCTCAACACAAAGAAGCTCCAGGAATCCAAGCATATTCCAACAAGCCATGATCTGGACGTGTCCAGGTCTCCTCCTCAGCTGCATTTGTCTGCAAACATCTCCAAATCAGAAGTTCATCAGCTGGAAAATTACAAAGGTGCTGCTTCCACTACATCTTGTTCTGATGTCACAAGTGCCTCCTACAATGATGAAAGGTTTCAGCAGCCTGATTTCAGGTTCTCTGTCTATCCTTCTCACATTGGTGGAGCCATGGTAGGTCATGCTGGCGTTATGCATGGTGGTGGGAACCTCCATCATCTTTCTGGTCTCTGCTGATGGACGAGTTGACAAATTCTCATCGGAGCAGTCCGTATTGGGTGCTTCAATGGAAAATGCGACTGCTTTGTTAACGTGGGAAGTCATCCTTGGCTCTGTTTAGTTTGCTGTTTAGTTCACTTCACCTGTGATCACAGACTGTTTCAAACCATGGACATGGGAGTTATTTCTTGCCAGCACTTGTAACTTCCGACGTTTTACTGTCTATCTTTTCGTTCAAGAGTTTTGGTGAATTGTTGATTGACGTTATTTAAAATAAATGCATGCCTTGGCATACATTCCAGTTCCATACACCATCCTTACGAAATGAATAGCTCAAATTCTAAATTCACGATATATAATTTTCATATAGAATATAATAAAAAAATATATTTTTAATATTTTACAGCACATAAATACGAAATTTGTCATATATAATTTCGACAAGTTCAAGTTTTGTCAGCTTAACTCAACAATCAATTACACAAGGCCTATGTTTAACTGTCATTTTTTTTTTTTTGGTGTGGTGAGTTTTAGAGTTTATGGTATCATATTTATTGTTTGTTGACTTTATTTGGGTAAGATTTATTTTAAGTTTTGTTTGAGAGGGCTGAGGGCTCAGTATTACAATACCACCATTCAAGTTCAGTGTCACTTCAAATGGTATTGTATGAAACTTTCTTTAGAAAGCAGCAAAGTGAAGTCAATTACTGACCCCAAAGGCTTTTTTTTTCTTTCTTTCAAATTGTTTAAAGGCTTTTCTATGTCGAAATCACAAGAGTTGTAGAAAAAGTGGTCATATATCAATCCCATGAGACAAAAAAATCCATGCAAAATACCTAATATAATCCATTCATAGTATTTGATTTTCAATTATGAATTTTAACTTTGGTTATATTAATATATGAAATAACAAATTTTTTTAATAAATTAAATAATTTTCCAAATACCCTTAAAAAGATATGTGTTAAGTGTACAAAGAATTTATAGTTAATTTTATATAATGGTTATTGTTATTTACAAAATATAAATAATGGAATATAAAAAGTTTAAATCCTATCATTTCATTCATAATTTAAATTTCTTTTTAATTTTAAGATACAATACTTAAGTTGGTGTACAAAACTATATAAACTGATTTACATGATTTATACCTATATTATTGGTGTAAATATTTCTTAAACCTATATTAATTTTAAAATTTTTTAAATCAATTAAAACAATCAATCGATTCAATTAAATCAACTGTAAAAACTTAAAAATTGATTAAATGAATTTTATTTGTTCAAAAATATAAAATAACTGATTAATTATATGAAAACAAAAATTAATCAATGTATTATCTTTTTGAATTTAACTATTTTCTATCCTATGAGTTCGAACTAATCCATATGTGATAACTAAGTTCATCACACAAGAAGCACTTTCACCCCACTCATCAGCATGACCTCCAAAACTTTGTCTCTCTCTCTGTTGCCTTAAATTCATATAAGACATATAACAAACAAATTCTATGATCAAGCCAAGCAACACTAAGCCATTTCATAAAATCCCATGTCAAGAGTCTATCAAAGTTAGTCTAATTTTGTTGTATAGATTTCTGGTCTTATTTTTGTTCAAATCATTTGTAGAAAATTTTAGCATAGAAAATGAGTAACATTCTCTATCTCTTAAATATCTATATCTATGATAAAAAAAAGAATTAGGGTGCAATCATGGGGTATATCAAGATAGAGATGAAGTCAATTAAAGATAAAATTTGCAGGTAAGTTACATTCTCAAAATAACAGATTTGCTTAAGTACTAGTGAGAATTAGAGATTTAGATTTTAGGGTTTTGATAAAAAAGAATTAAAAACAGAATCGAAGGGTCAAAAAGTAATTGAGTAAAGGGGTTCGAAAAATTAATAATGTTTTATTTAATTTAAATATTTAATTATTTGAATTTTGATTTTTTATTTAAATATTCAACATAAAAAATAAACGAGAATTAAATCGATTTAATCTTTTAAATTAACAATATCAAATCTATTTAGTTAAAATGAACTATTTAGATAAATTTTAATGGTTTAAATTAGATTTCGTAATTTGTATCATCATATTATATTTCGTATCAGATACAATTTCACACATGAGACAAATAATCTTGACACAAATATATCACGACTATACGAATGATATGAATAATTTAAACACAAATACGACACGTTTATTATATGCATTATACGTAATATAATATGATTAATATTTTCAAAATTAATTTATATTCAACTAACATGATATGACACGATTAACATGATTATATACGAATAATACGATTAGACAAGATTAATTATCAAATAATACCACATGATATGACATGATTAATATGATTAAACATGACTAATCTACTTATTTTAAAAAAATATTATTTAAATTAGTATTTAAATAAAAATTATTTAAAAATTAAAAATTTATTTAAATACCAAAATGATATTATAAATATAATTATTTATTTATTTTTAAATAAATTAATAATAATTTTAATTTTTTTTACGTTACGAATAATATCGTATCTTAAGCGTGTTAAAATAATTTTTAATTTTTTTTATGTTACGAATAATATCGTATCTTAAGCATATGATTACTATTTGATATGAACATAACACGAATAATTTTATATTTTAATTATATCGACACGATTAATACATAAAATATAATTATACTAAATTTATATATAATTTTTTTATTATTTTTATATCGTATCATTACGTTTTGTGTAAAATTATCGAAAATAATTCAAATCAATTAATGATTTTTCTTACTTTAAATAATAAAAAATAAAATAAAATGATATTTTCTCTTTATCCTTTTAAATATAGCTCTTATTAAAAATCTTTTGAATTATGTTTTCTGATATTAAAATGCATATAGAATGATGTTTATAATGCCTTTGATATAATCAAAATCAAACAGAAAGGTTATCCCTCTTATTTTTTTTAAATTATACCAGTCTGAACCAGGATAACCAACGTGGAGGGCCGTTACTGCCAGTAGTTCTAAATTATGGGTCTCGCTTAAGAACACGACAAAACATATGATGACGTGTTGTTGTTACCTCCACGTCACCACTCGTAAAAAAATAACTGACCACACCAAATTTTTGCTCTTCCTCATTTTGGGTAATCGGACTCAACAGCCTTCTCTTAAATGGAGTTAACCCGACCAACAAACCCAGATTCAAATCCGCTCCAACTCAAACTTAACTACCCATTAAATCCGTCGACCAATCAAAGAATCCCCACGCCATCCTCCCCACCTCGGCGACAACAAAACAGTATTAATAATGTATAATCCTACATATATATAAATAAAAAATATGATGTTTCATTTTGAATAGTAACAAAAAAAAAGAGTAAATTTCTTTTTTTTTACCGAAAAACCTTTTTTTTTTTGGGGTTTGCGAACAGAGAAAGAGAGAAAATGGAAGGAGGAGGAGCTCAGTATAATCCTCGCACAGTGGAAGAGGTTTTTAGGGATTTCAAAGGCCGAAGAGCTGGCATGATCAAAGCTCTCACCACAGGTTTCTGCTTGTTTCCTGAGAAAACTCAAAGTAGAAACTGAAAGCTACTGTCATTATTCTTTTTGAAAGCTCCGTGTGAGTTTTTTGAAATTTTTTTCTTTTTTTTAAGCAGATTGGAAAATAATAAGTAAATTTTGTTTTGGGTTTCATTCTTTTTTTTTTTTTTTTTCAGTTTCATTAAAAATGCGGTTCTATTTGTTTCTCTTTTATTCTTTTAATATTTCCTTTTTTTAGTTGTTTTGTTTTGCTTTGTCTTTGGTTGGCGAGGAATTGTAAAGGGAGAAAATTTCCATTTTTCAGTTGCTTTTTACTTTAAAATTTTTATTTGTTTTTCGTTCTTTAATCTTTATTTGTTTTAAGATTTTTTCCTATTATTGCCTTTCTTGTTTTTTGATATTTGATAAATTTTAGGAATGTAAATATAAAGGAAAAGTAAGCTTATAATTGCATATATGTTTCTGTTTTTGTTTTGAGATTTAAAAAAAAAATCAAATTTATTACAATGCTTTATACTTTGAGTTTGGTTGACCTTAATGTGATACCTGAGAAAGTATGGAATCAAAGAAATTGATTAGTGCAAATGTAACTCAAATTTATTAAAATTTTATCAAAATTTAGTATGCATTTCATTGGGTATTATTTTTATGTTTATCTCTTGCATTTTGCTCCAATTAACTTAGTGATTACTGAGAAAATGTAGAGGTGGAAAAAATGTGAAATGCAATGTCAGTTTAAATTTTATATTTAGTACACATTTCACATTCATTATCAAAATAATAATAATAAAACAAAAGTACGCATTTGATTATATATTAAGTTGGTATTTTATGCTGCGTGTTGTCATTTTAATCAGCTTTCATGTGGTTGCTGAAAGTTTTAGCAGAATAGAATGAAAGTTTGAAATCAGTTTTTCTTGTTTTGTTTGTGTTAATAAACATTCATAGAATTCTAACCTTCTTTTTGGGGTAATTAAACTGATAGATTTGTCTTCTATAGCTAATATGAAGCGAAAAGCATTTGAAGTTATGTTTGATTATAGATAACTGTTTTTGAGAGTTATTTGTTGAAGCAAAAAACATTTGAAGTTATGTTTGTTTATAGATAACGGTTTTTGAGAGTTATTTGTTTGCTTAACGGATTTTGGTTCTCTTATGTTGTAGACGTTGAAGAATTTTATCAGCAGTGTGATCCTGGTAAGGCTTGCTTCTTTTGTTCGTTTCATTGTTTTATATACAAATGCTTTGACAATAATTTATTAGGTAGTTATAGATTAATTTGTTTTACTTTCTGTCTGTAATGTATATAGAGTTGGTCTCACTTTTTTTGTAATGTCTAATTTTCGTACGTTGTTGTGAGTGTTGGAGAGCTGTAAGTCCCTTTTAAAGGAAAAACAAAGGAAACATGGTGTTTCTTATTCTCAAGCTGTCAACTCCACATTGATGCCTTTAATTGTTTTTGATGGTTTTCTCAATGTGGTTCTATGATTCATAGGACCTGTAGATAATGGTCTTTAAAGCTTTTGTAGTTATTACCTTTGTTTTAAGATACATGGAGTGCATAGTGTTGCAATGATATACTTGCTTATGAGCGCCAGACTCTAGGGCATTTGACCACAGTGTTTATTCTGCTTTATTGAATTACATCTTGAGTCTCCTCTCTACACTTCCTGTTTGGTTGCTTTGTTTACTTATCAAAATATTAAATGTGACCAACTCTGTTAGTATAATTTATTTGTTCTTTATCAATTATCATGACTGATTTACAAAGATGCATAATATTTGAAGGCATGATTTGGTGATTGTTTAATTTTACTTGACATGTATGCTTTTTTTGCCTTTTATGGTTGTATTAGTGCAATAAATATGATTACTGTGTAAAGGAATTCTCTCAATTAATGTACTTTAGTAGTCCTTTACCTTTTTATGCCATTTGTATTTATATTTGCCCAACTGTGTTTGGATCTTCTCCTTAATATTCAAGGCAGATTCTTGGACTCATCTCTTGTGTGTGTGTGCACGTGTGTATGTGTATGTGTAGGAAATAATCTTTCCTAATAATCTCCAAAATTTTCACTTTGTTATGCCTTTGCTATTGGAGCAATGTTTGCGCCCATACTTGCATGTGCATTTATTATTTATTATGATATTATGACTTGCAGCTTTTGTTCTTTTATTTCTTTGTGTTTTTATGGAAAGAGTTATTATTATAATTTTAAGTGGGATAGGAAAGCTAGTTGTGCTTGAGTGTGCAGTCAATCGTAGATTGTACTGGACATAGATATAGGTTCTTAATGAATCAAAAGGAGTATTATTTTTGGGGTGACTTCTTGACTATAAATCAACCTCTTAGTTTGGAGGCCTTTGCTCACATTATTGTTTTATCGATTTGTTTATGCTTGATAGCTAGGTTTGTAATCTTCTTTATTACCTAGTTGCTTGTGTTTGCGTGATTGTTGATTCTCATCCTTCTAGCCTTTATGAGCTATGTTCTTTAATTTCCAGAGAAGGAGAATCTATGCTTGTATGGTTTCCCAAGTGAACAATGGGAAGTTAATTTACCTGCCGAGGAAGTCCCTCCAGAACTACCAGAACCTGCCTTGGGTATTAACTTTGCAAGGGATGGCATGCAAGAAAAGGACTGGTTATCTTTAGTTGCTGTCCATAGTGATGCGTGGCTGCTTTCAGTTGCCTTCTATTTTGGTGCAAGATTTGGATTTGATAAAGCTGACAGGTGTGTCAACTGATGCAAAACTTCAGCCTTCAGCCTGTTCTTAGTTGAAGCAAAAGCATGTTATAGATGGCCTTTTTTTTTTTTTGGGTCTTTGGAACAAGATGATTGGCCAATAGTTAGGTTTATCCTCCATTTTTGGTTTTACCTTTTTCTTTCCTCTCCTCACTCTTTGACTACAGAATTGAATTTGGTCTTCTGAATAAGTAGAGATTTATGTGCTTGACTTGCAATGTTTCACTCGTAAGGTGCAAAGCCTTTAGTGCTAAGACCTGGAAAAACGAATAATAATTTGTTTATTTGTAGCCTTTCTGATTTGCTTCATTTTGCAATATTTTATGTATTACCTGCATGCTTTTGGGCTATTAGGCTATTAAGCCTGCTTACAAAGTTCATGCCAATGGCCTTCTGGTCTAATGGCACCTCCCTCCCTTGTAATGTAACTTTGTTTTTGCAAGCCTGGCCAGTAGGCTTAGGACAGGGTTGCCTACTATTGAGTAGCCCATCCTTTGGACCTAAAGGGGTAAAATGAAAAAGGGTTTAGGTGGATTTGGTTGAATCATGTCAGTCCACCAAAGGCACGTCTGATTGTAGTTACTCAAAGGATCAGATTAATTGCAGGATGAAATTTAAATGAAGTTTGATAAACTCAGCTAGGAAATTAGTTTCCCCAATATTTATGATATTCTGTTTATGCATCTGTTTATCAAATGTGGTGCTGGTATAATGTCATTCCTTTGATACAGGAAAAGCCTTTTCAGCATGATTAATGATCTTCCAACAATATTTGAAGTTGTAACTGGTGCTGCCAAGAAACAAACAAAGGAGAAGTCATCAGTGTCAAATCATAGTAGCAACAAATCAAAGTCCAACTCGAAAGCGGTAAAAGGGATTTCCTGTGCATAAATCTTATTGTTTGGTATAGATAATTGTAATGAATATATAGGTGGCAACTATCCATCATTGTGTTTAGTGACGAGCCACTGTATTGTCATTTATTATATTGTAGTCAAAATAGTATTACCATTTGAAGAACTTTCAGTACAATACATAGACAGCAAGTTCTGTCTGTGTGGTTCTGAAATCTGAAGTAGTCGTTATGATGTTTCCTGCTGTATTGTTACTCAAGATTGGAATTGTTTCATTTCAAAAATTAGCAACTAATTGAAGTTTACTTTTATGGCTTAAGCAATATGGAAAAGTCTTTATAATTTATTTGTTTTGCTGTTGGTCTTGTGATCAGCGGGAATCTCAGGCAAAGTTTTCAAAAGCATCGCAGCCAAAGGATGAAGAGGAAGGCTTGGATGAGGAAGATGAAAAGGAGCATGGAGAGACCTTGTGTGGGGCTTGTGGTGAGAACTATGCTTCGGATGAGTTCTGGATTTGTTGTGATGTCTGCGAGAAGTGGTTCCATGGGAAGTGTGTGAAGATCACTCCAGCTAGAGCTGAGCACATTAAGCAATATAAGTGCCCATCATGCAGCAACAAGAGAGCTCGCCCCTGATATCATGAAAATGCTCTCTCTCTCTCTCTCTCTCTCCTATTTGTACTTTGATCTTGGCGTAGTCTGCTAACTGTCCTGTTAATCAGTTTCTGTGTCTTTCATGTAGACTAGTGCAGCATGTGAATGGTCACTGTGGTCTAGGAGGAAATCTCAATTTTCAATATTATTTATTTGCAGTTTAGTTTATGATAATTCCCTTGTGAAACATTTGGAAATCCTTTTATTTTGAATGGGAATTATGTTACGTTTAAGGTTTCATCTTTCCCAGCTGACTAATCTGTTTGATCATGGGGGTCTCATTTTCATACATTGACCGGAATCATGACATTAAGGATAATGTTGCGTTAAGGATAAGGAAAATATATCCCTTTGTCACCGTCAAGCTACAGTATAGGGCTCATCAAGTTTTGGTCAAAGTATTAACACATTGTTGTAATGCTTGATTCAAGATCTCAAGAACGGTTCAGATTCAATCAGACTGAAAAACATAAAATCATTCTTTTGGAAGATTTCAATCAAATCCATCAAAAACCCTAGATTCCTCAGGGTCATCAATTGCCCCATTCCTATCCCTAACAAGATACCCACTCCGACTTTCTATCAAAGGAATCTTGGGATGTATTATAAATTGATGACAAACCCACAAATTTTAAAATCCTTTAATAAATTAGATGTTAATCCAAGATTTAAGTATGGTGATAACAAAGAAAGAGATTTATATTCATATTGAAATAGACCTGCAGCCAAATTACATTCACCAACCAGAAAGCCAAAAAAATAAATAAATAAATAAAAGACATCAAAAGCATGATTTAGAAGAAGATCAAAGAACCCAGAAGAGAAACGTCTGTTTTCCCCACTGTTTCTTTCTCAGTTTTCCCCTATTTTTCTTTATTACATCAAGCTCTCTTGATTCTTGGCTGAGACCCGTTTCAGGAACTCATAAGTAGTGATCATTGTTGTTGCAGACATAGACATAGACGCGCAGCGTGGCCCCAAACCTCTATAACAAGCCAACCACCCACCTTCTTTAACCAAATTCCTAACAGTTTGCCCAATTGTTGGTCCACGCCTCCCATTATCTTCCCCATCCAAAACCTGCAGTCTCGTCTTAATTGTATCAAGTGGCATTGTAATCAAAGCTGATACCCCCCCAGCCATGGCTGCGCTGATTCCCTGAACTGCCATTACCGTCTTTGAATCAGGCCTAATTGTATTGCTATTACTACTCACATCATCATTACTCTCATCATCTTTTTTCCAATGGTAACATCCAATACCTCCCCATACAAGCCTCTGAGCAACTGAATAAGATGCCCACCACACTGCATTAGATGGAGCATAGGTTAAAATCGATATTCCAAAACCTCTATACAATCCCCTTGGACCATCCGTGTTAATTATTTTCCTAAACGCATCGATCCCATTTACGTATTTACAAGGTGAACTACAACTTGGGTGGCTTCCTTGAACCATTAACCTCTGGCTAACCACATCGATTGGGGTCCAAGCAAGCTGTGCAGCCATTGCAGCACTCAATCCAGCAACAGCATTAGCTATTGCTCCAGCCGTTGGTTCAGGAACACCAAACTTAACCGTGGCACTCCCTACATTACTTTTGGTAACCTCAAGAGCTGCCATGTAAAAAGCTCGAGCCGGGATTGTTCCCATTAGAGAGGTACCGAATCCTCGGTATAAAGCCCTGAAACCTTCGTGTTTAACAATCGAAAAGGCGGTTCGGACACCGGAAAGTTGGGCTTGAGCAACTTGTTGCCTTGTTTTAACCAAAACTACAGGGTAAAGAATAGCTGAAACACCTGAAAACAGAGCAGCACCTAACAAGAAAAACTTTGATTTATCAAGCATTTCCCAATCTATATCGGCCGGGACAAGAATCTCTTGCGCCGATTCTTCCTCGGCCGGGCTTATATTTATCTTGGCCACTTTTAAAGATCGAACTCCAAAACTACAAAAAAAAAAAAAAAGCTAATATCTTTCTTTATATATCACAAAAAAATCAACAATTTTACATTGACACTGTACAAGTCCACCAAAAACCCAACACCACCGTCTCAGTCAATAATCACCGTCCGGATGAGATTAAAAGCAAAATACAAGCAGAAGAGGTTTTTTTCCTCTTGCGAAACCAGGTTTTGGATCGAACGTGAATCACAGCAAATGGATGTATCGTTTCTTTGGGTACACAAAATCGATGGATCAGAACTTCAGCTTACCGGAGACTCAACCATCGTCGTCCCTGTTGACGGAACTTTCACCTGGTAAGTTCGGATCTCGCAAGACTAATATAGAAGAAAACGAAAATACTCACAAATGGAAAAAGCAAGAGAAACGGAAAAAAAGGAAAAGTGACGTTTTTAGACAGATTCTCCAAATTGCAAGAGAGAAGGAGATAAGAGACAGAGGTGGGTGACCGAAGCTTAGAGAATAGAGGTTAAAAAAAAACAAAGGAGGAAAGAGAAGGAGACATAAAGTGAAGGAAATGGAATGGACATGTGTCGATTATGGATTAAGTTTTTTTTTTTTTTATGTTTTGGTTAACCAAAAGGTTTTGATTGTCTGCAGTTGTTTTAGTAATAAGAATCAGATTTGGATCATTTTGATGGCTGCTAACGTTGGGATTTGGATGGGGTTGATTAAGAGGGATTTGGATATTTGTACAGATAGGCAGTAATGTAGAGAATTAAAGCCGGGTTGTCTCCAGAAAAGGGTGTAAGATGACGTGTACTCCATATCCAATGGAGATGAGATAGTGTTGGGTGTATACAAGTACATGCTTAGCAAAACTTTTTGCTTCATATCAAGCTGAATTTGCAATTTGAATATCATGAATCAACACCGTACGGTAAAGAAGAGTACATAAAGTATCGGATTGGGATTTTCATATAATTATTTTTAAAAAATAATATTTAATAAATTTAAAATTTTAAAAAATAATATTTAATAAATTTGAAGGTTTAACTAGAATTGTTTTAAAGCAGGAAATAATCATTCTTCCAGTTGAAAACAAGCTATAATTCAAATTTTTTTTGAATTTCGATGTTCAAAGTCATATATCAATAATTTTATAGTGCTTGTTCCTACTTCTTAAATTTCTCCTAACATGTATATTACATGGTTTCATTCTTGAAAGTTGCAATATTGATTGTGTTATGTACAAGAATGAAGGGGGCTACACCACGGACAGCGGAACCTTCAATGATACTGAGGTCCTTGTATCCTCTTGTTTCTTTATTTTTCCTTTTTCTTTTTGAGCCCCTGTTACAGGTTTAGAACTACATAACGGAAACTTAAATCATATTCTACATATATCCTTGTCCGCTATACGAGGAACCATGTTAAAATTCGCACTCATCTTGCCTCTATAAATATATATATATATATATTATTTTTTATTTATATTTTTTTAATATAAAATTAAGACGTTATAATTTTTTACATTTAAAAATTGATGTGTTTATCAAGTCGAATTCAATTATAAAATTAAAATCATATCAGATTATTATGTAACACTTAATGACCTTTACGATCGTATCGATTGGTGACCGTTCTAATATTATTTGTGAAGATTTATACTTAATTTGTAAAATATTATCTATTTAATCCGAAAATCTCACATTTTATTTTATAAAAAACACTTCACAAATTTTGAATTTAAGCTTCTATATGTATTATTTTTTATCTACACATTCTTTGATTGAGGTATTACGAAAAACCTTAAGCAGGGGTAAACATACAGAATGCAGAGGCAAGAACAAGAAGGTTGAGAATACTTTTTTCTATCTCGCGCCAATTAATACAAAATATCTTCTAAAACACAGTACTGCAACGGGGAACATAGGAAAAATTGTAATTTTGATAATCATTTCTACTAGACTGCATTAAAATGCTTTTCAACTCAAAGTAAAAGAGAACCGACAAACTATTAAGGACCTTGTATGCTGCTAAAAGCAACCGAAGAATCAAACAAAACATCAACCCCTCTATTAGCACTTGCAGCTCCAGCTCTCTCCCTTGGATCTTTGTAATAGTAGTTTCCAAAATAGAGAATGGTAGCATAATACCACATTAATGGGAAAAAAAAGATCCTAGGAGAAGACTGCATAAAAGCGGATATGCTCATTGAGTCCAGAAAACAAGAAGATGAGTTGAAAGAGGATGACAGAGGACATGAGAACTCACGAAAGCCATCCTATTCCACAGCCAAAGCAAGGGAGAGGTTTATCATATATTCCCAGCTGTGCGTCTTAAATGCTTACCAAATCAATTTCACCATGAAAATGAACGTTATTACACATAAACTTAACGAAAGATGCTAAACTCAACAAACATTGGCCTAATGGAAATGTCAGTATGAAACAAGGCAGATGTTCATGGCTTAAACTTCAAGTTAGAGTAAAACACGGCTATAACTGAAATTATTTTGAACCAGGACACAGATCTCATATTTCAAGTTTTAATGAAAGCCCCAAAATTGGTTAACCATTAGTGCTCCTACTCTGTAAATTGACAAGCATATCACAAAATACTGTAGAGATAAAATTCCACAAAGCTTGACGAACATGACGGTTTCATAGCTAATAAGCAATTTTTGGGCTAAGCACCGAACTATTATATGCAGAAAAAATGAGAGAGGGTGTAGAAGGAATAAGTTTAGTACTCTGATCCATGTATTCAGGAAATCTAACAGAAGGTTGGTGTCCTCAGCTCCTCTCTCCGCCTTTGAAGGTCATGCTCTGGGGAGAACAAGTGAAGAGTGTACCATATTAGCAACTATAATAGCCATTAGAAAGGCTCCATAAAAAAAGAAACTGCTAATATCTCAATATCAAGTACTGATTTTCATATATGACCTGTGAAACTGTTAATACCTGGTTCTACAATCTATTCCATCAAAAAAGAGAATATTATAAAACCAAATTTCAAGCAAAAGTCAAACAACCCATTAAAATTTGATTTAATTCTGCATAAAGAAGACCCTTCTAATTGAAAGAAGACTTATTAAAGAATTGAGTTAATTATTCATAAAGAATGTTCAATCAACTAAACTCTCATAGCTTAAAAGCCAAAAAATATGAATCTAGCGCTTAGGTCTGTTGGTTCATGTCACCGAGGTGGAATCCAACAACAGGTATGATGTTCAAACTAACACCTGCGACCCCTTCTTCTATCCCAAGCCCAACTGCAGCCTCCTTTGTTAAAAAACAAAGAAACGACAGAGGCGACAATTTTGGTAAAATTAATTTTATTTTATCAACAATAACCAAAGGAAAGAATCCATGATATTCCCTCAAAATAACACCTGAAGAATTCCTATGATTAATAGCAAAGGGAGAAGAGAGGTAGCCAATGATCCCACCAAAAGTCAAACCTTGATTTCCATAAGAACTAATTTCCAAAACCCCAAAAAACCCATCACGATACAGGGCAGAAAAATCAGTTTACAATATCAAATTTACAAATTTAGCAATAAAAATCTAAAATTCAGAGCAATTTGACTATGAAACAGTAAAATGTTGCAAGAAAGAAAGAGACGAGTGAGACATGCCTGTCAAAGTAAGAGAGTGAAGGAGAAGAGGTGGGACTTTACAGAAGAGAAAAAGCAAAGGAAAGAAAATTTGGGTTGAGAAGTGATTTTCTTTGCTTTTTCTTTTCAGTGGGTTTTTATTGATGTAGTAGTCGTTACGTCGTTGATCGTACTGTTTTCTCCGTTACTATGTGATGTTAAAGAAATGCGGCAGTTACTTTTGCCAGGGAACAAATTGCTACATCCAATCTCATACACTTTTCAAAATTGACCGCGACCAAGCCGTGAAGGTCCACTGCACAGTTGGACGCCTCCATCTCCAACCTGCTTGTGGTTGACCTCGGCTCAGCTTTTAAAACTGATGGGTATGCAGTAGGCTTTTCAACTGCTTTAGAGTTGGGTTTGCCCGATCATAAACACTACAGTGGGTAGGCTTTTCAACAGTTATTGATGACTTTTTTTTTTCCTGATTTTAGAATTCAAATAGACCAGTGAAGTGTTCAAGTCGGAGATAATAAATGTTCATAGTTGCTAGAAACTATCCAAGCCGACTACAAACAGTAATTATAAACCTGAGAAAGCAAGGTTGAAATTTGAGGGGAAGAGATTTGTCCTATGCAATCAATCTGGTTGTAAATCCTATCCCCATGTATACTGGCAAAAGCTGGAATTTACAAATGCTCATGTAAAATATAAGCATAAAAAAGTTTGGCAGCATCCATACCAGAAAACATAGGCAATATGGTACTGAAATACACTTGCTATAGTGCATACTAATTTCTAATGGATCGGAGCTACATATTCATTAGATGTTCTCTCTAATATGTTAGATATATATGTCAGGATTTAAACCCTGTTAAAAAGTTTAATAAGCTGTTGATAACTTTGATTTTAGATGATGGGATGGGAATCAATTAAGATTTGCTCTTGAGCTTCCTTTGAGCTTTCAAGTCTACAACAATTATAGAGATGTTGTCATTGCTCCCTTTTTGGATGGCGAGCATTGAAAGGTATTGAGCTGCTGCTTGCGCAGCAGGGTCAACTCCTTTGCCTCTTTCCACCAGGGAAGGAACCCTGTTCTTTTTGTGCCAGAGCAGGATTCTCCGTCGAGCCACCTCACAAGCTTCCTCATTTGATATGACATCCCACAACCCATCACTGGCCAAAATCAGACATTCATCTTCTCTAGCTCGAGGAATAAACATAACTTCCGGTTCTGGGATAATCCATGGTTTCAAATATCTATCACCTGTAAGAAATACAAAGAAAAAAGTAAGTGCTAGTCTAAATGTTACTTAATTCCCATCACTAAATTCTTCATCAAACATGTCCAAAAATATCAAGCTTGGCATCTTGAAAGTAAATGCTGACGTCATTCACTATATTATGCCAGTGATTTACAGTATTTGTGGCAGCATTAGCTTTTTTTCTGCCAGGG